GATAGAACAGTGGACATTAGAGTGATAATTAGCGGCCACTACAGGATAGATTAGAGTGATAAATTAGCGGACACTACAGGATAGTCCAGTGGCCATTAGAGTGATAAACTAGCGGCCACTAGAAGATAGTACAGTGGCCATTAGGGTTATAAATTAGCGGCCACTACCGGAGAGTACAGGGGCCATTAGAGTGATAAATTAGCAGCCACTTCAGGATAGTACAGTGGCCACTATGCTGATAAATTAGCGGCCACGAGAGAATAGTATAGTGGCCAGTAGAGTGATAAATTAGCGGCCTCTAGAGGATAGTACAGTGGCCATTAGAGCGATAAATTAGCGGCCATTACAGGATAATACAGTGAACATTAGAGTGATAAATTAGCGTAGAGAGGGATTACAGCGGCCACTGACTGATAAATTAGCGGCCACTAGGGGATAGTACAGTGGCCATTAGAGGGATAAATTAGCGGCCACGAGAGAATAGTATAGTGGCCAGTAGAGTGATAAATTAGCGGCCCCTACAGGATAGTACAGTGGCCGCTAGGGTGATAAATTATCTGCTAGTAAAGGATAGTACAGTGGCCACTAGGGAGATAAATTAGCGGCCACTACATGCTAGGCCAGTGGCCATTAGAGTGATAATTTAGCGGCCACTACATGATAGTACAGTGGCCATTAGAGCGATAAATTAGCGGCCATTACAGGATAGTACAGTGGCCACTGTCTGATAAATTAGCGGCCACTACCGGCTAGTACAGTGGACATTAGAGTGATAATTAGCGGCCACTACAGGATAGCACAGTGGACATTAGAGTGATAAAGTAGCGGCCACTACAGGATAGTACCGTGGCCATTAGAGTGATAAATTAGGGGCCACTAGAGGATAGTACAGCGGACATTAGAGTGATAAATTATCGGCTACTACAGGATGTTACCGTGGCCACTAGGGTGATAAATTAACGGCCACTACAGGATAGTACATTGGCCTTTAGAGTGATAAATTAGCGGCTACTAGAAGATAGTACAGTGGACATTAGGGTGATAAATTAGCGGCCTCTAGAGGATAGTACAGTGGCCACTGACTGATAAATTAGCGGCCACTAGAGGTAGTACAGTTGCCACTAGAGAATAATACGCTGGCCAGTAGCTAGATATGTATACATACATGCAGTGGCAAATGGAATAGTATACAGTGGCAACTAGATAGTGATAAATACATTCATAAAGTGATCACTAGAGAATGATACAATGGCCACTTTGGAGTGTTGATGATAGAGAACAATATAGGCCCTGGAGGCCACCACAGGATGTCAAATGTATATTTACAGTGGTCCAAGTGATATTCGTCACTAACAAGATTAAGGTATTGCTTTCCTTATTTTTTTACATTAGAGATTCCGGATTCGATTACTGTAGAAGGGTACTAGTATTGTTTACCTGTACGATACCGTCCTTCATTGTTTACTTGCTAATTAATATCACATACATGTATGTAATGAAAAAGCTGCCTTGTCAGACATAAATGAATAAGCTATATGTGTAGTTCGATAAGAATGTTAATTAAAGATGATTTTTTTAAATTCCTGAGTCACGTTACACAGGGTTTCATCAGCTAAAGGTAAAGTATTGAAAACCAAACTGTTGAATAAATTACATGAGGAATTTGAGCATTTTTTTGTATATGCCTGAAAGATAATATTTCGAATCCTGGTCATATTTTGGTTTTGTTTTCCGTATTAATAATTATGAAAAGATCAGCGATTTAATTTTGCCTGAATTCTAGTTTAAGTTGGTGGAGCTTGAAGTAAATCCAGGTCGCTGTTTTAATTAATTTTTATCTTAAATATATTTACATGTCCATAATGCAGTAATTATAATTGGTGACATCACTTACTTAACGACACGAAGTCGAGTGTAATTAATAACGTATACAAATATATGCAAATGACATTATTTCCTTCAATTACAGGTATTCCGAGCTGTGATTACAGCGTATAGTGAGTAGCTATCTTTCTCGTCATTATCTACACGCCGCGGGGCGGTACGTGACCAGCAGTGGGAAGTGGACAAAACGTCAATAATTGGCCGAATGAGTGGTCACGGTAGCTTGATTTACACCTGACCGGCCTCAGGTCTACCTGGATTTACACTTGTCTGACCGTACCTAGCTCATAGTCTACACAGTCGCCACAATTAATAGCTAAGTCGGGCCACCTCATTGAAGTGTACAGGTATGTGTGTATTACAGGTGAGATATGTCAGCCAACATTATACTTACGTTATCTACACAATGACACGTAACGCAGGAGTTTACGTGTGATAAGAACCTTTTGACGATTGAAATATATATATATATAAAGTATATAAATGATATCAATTATTTATTTTATAAAGTAATTAATAAAAAAATCATTGTCTGTCGAGGATTTTCAACATATATGAGGTGCAAATACTTTTCTTTACACGTCTCTCATTTACACTCCGAAATACTGCAATGAAAACTTAAAAAAAAATCATGTCACAAAGAACATATGTCAGTGAGTTGTTGTATTTTAATTTCAATTCGCCCGATAAAATCTATTATTTTTGAATGCATCAAACATGAAGAATCTGTCATATATCCAGTTAACAAATATGTATTAGTCCGGAATAGGCCTAACTGACTAACTATCTCCTTTTTGATTTCTTTTATGGGGAGGAGATAAGACAATTTGAACGTTTTATGATTATATCTGCATCGTTATTAAAATAAATACCTATTATATTTCACCTGACTGTTAATTGTGATTCAAATTCAGTATTATTATCATCAACATTTCGTAACAAATGTAAAGTACATGTTTGATAGAAATGTATACACGTTTACTATATATACTGCTACAGCACAATATATATATATAGGTGATATCATGTATACACACACACACACCTTTATCGGCTCACTTGGTGCATTCGGTACGTAACTGTGACCATTTTATGCATTGCTTTTATTATCCTAACCAGGGTAACATGCTTATATCCTATTCCTTAGAAATAGTTTGTTTTCAAAAGGACGTTCGGTCCTTTGTGTGTGTTTTTATTACACAGCTAATTTTAGACAACGACTGTATCGTATGCAGACATTAAACGCAAAACCAACTTGCTTAGCCTTACTCACGGCGAGCAGAAATCCCGCGTTTTCATTGGTTGATGAGATTTCTCTCGGCCAGTCAGCACTGACCAACCTTTCACTGAGATTAGATGGTAGGCGAACCAAAGAACAAAGAAAAAACAGTGTAAATTTTATGATAGTTCTGTATAACTTTGCAGATCAGTTTAGAACTTGGCAGATTATCCGAAGGACATATTTTTTATGTGCATATGTGGTAAGTCATTTGAAGTGAGTTAATAGTACAAAAACAACGCCTTTTTGGGGGCTTTCCGGTCGCTCGGTGTGTTGTACTCTTGAGCTCCGTCATTTTTCATGCCGTGTACTGAAGCTAAAACCAGAAAATCGGTTTGTTTATTCAATATTTTGGTGTTATGTGCATTGACCGCTGTTTGTATTTGTTGCTGTGGTAGATATATTTTGTATTTGGTGTATTTGACAATCGGACGTGGCGGTTAACCGTTTATACAAATCGTTAAAACGTGAGTACTCTAACAAAATAAACCCAAGTCAAAACTGGGGTAAGGCCCAACCAACAAATATGCACGCGATCACTTTGTATTCAAGGTCATGTTGTTTCAACACTGCACGTATCATGTCTCTAGATACATTGTGTGTTTCACATTTTGTTTATTAAATTGAATATATGTCGATCACATCGTATACGGTGTTAATTTGACATGATTTCGGTATTTATTAAACATGAGGTCACACCGGTGTCAGTTGAGTGATTGGCATTCCTTAGATTCTAGCCTCGCCGTTCAGGGGACTCCCTCCCCAGACAGAATAACACAACATGGCTACCAAATTTCCACATTTTATTCACAGGCGTTTTATTCACTTCAGATCGATCGATCAGAGGGTTAAATGCCAAAGAATTTGTTGTTCTGAATCAACGAAAATAAAAAAAATGCACGTGATGTAATCATTATACAATACTGTATCGAATATTTGTGTTTAAATAATGAATAAGGTGCAAAGCACAGCCACAGCACAAAGCTTTGTTGTGAATTTATTCACCACTGCTAAAATGAGCTTATTTATGATTTTTTAATTTGTACATTCGATTTCCAATATGGCTGCTCACATGTGTAAGCTCCCAACCCCCCAAAATAAAATACATGCATGAATCCTGCACCTGTATTAGCCGAAATAGGAACAATGAAATGATGCAGCATGGTACTATAAGAATGAAAAAAAAAATCATTCCTATCAATTAAGCACAGAGGTTTGTTTCTAATTTTAGTACAAAACAACAACGTTCATGATGCAGCCTCCTCCTATATTAATTGTTTTGATCTGATAAAACCCCTGTGGATGTTAGATACAAGCTTATACTGAAGAGGCATGCTGGTTTATGATCTTGAATGTCAAGGAAAAAATTGTAATAGCAAAACTAGGCATTGTAGAGGATTATGTGAGTGGAAGTTAATACATTTAGATTGAAAGTGTTGATAACATTCAAATGTTTGCTAACACTAAATATATATAATTCAATAACATTTCCAGTTTACTGAGAAAATGATTGTGAAGTGGGAGACGTGTAAACAAATTCCTCATTTCCTGCATCTGTACTGCATTTTAGTTTTCCCAAATTCCCTACATGTACTACAGGAAGAATTTTTGGGAAACACCGAGATATGGGGAAGTTATAGAAAATGTTATAACTGTTTTACACTTAACATATAACTGTGAAACAGAAACATAAAGCCACTGACAATATAAATGCAATTAAGACAAGATTTGATTATATGCAGAGCTATTAATCTGAACACATGCTTAGCTTATAAGGCTAGAGGATAAATAACAAAACCGGCTCCCAGAGCTGTGTGAAAGGCCTCAAGGGTCAAGTACTTATCATAAGGTTCTATCAGCAAGGCCATTCAGTTAGAATTGCTTCACCAAGATTGTTTTTGTTGTGTTTTTGTGACAGTTGGACTGTAGATATTTTGTCTGTGGTAAATGGAGTTAGGCCTGGGGTGAACAGTGATGTGTGTCCTGACTGAAATCTAGTGTTTCCTGGGTCTGTTAATCTGCCCACTTAACTGTTTCCTATGTATGTATGGTAAGTAAGAGAGGATTACTGTGTTTGTGAGGATTACTTTTGTCGGAATGCAAGATCTACATATTTCAATTTCAGTTTGTATATACACACATTTCACAAATCTGTTCTGAAATTTGTTTTATTCTGTAGTTGTTATAATGATTTATCCTACTTGAAAATATGCAACTTCTGGATTTTGCTTCCCCTCTGTGGAGTGTTCTCATTTTTATTATACTTTGTACACTAAAATATTATCATCAGGAAGCCCAACAGATAAGATAGCAGCTGGTAAGCTTAGTTTTATCCACTTCCTGTTACGTGTCATAAATACTGTATATCTGTATTTTATATTGTTTTATAATATATCGATGATTTCAGTAATTTCAAGCCACCAGACATATATTGCATAATCAAAGCTGTCAACCTCTGAGACCTCCAATGAGGGAGATTTCTCTCATTCCATATTTCCATTGAGGGAGTAATATAAGTACGTGAAACATTAGTGAAACTGCTTTGCTCAATTGATCTTTCCCTTTTTATGTATCAAAATCACTAGAAAAAACATTCATTAGATTCAGACACACCTGTTATGATCATTACACACACCCTGAAGTAACGATAAGGAAATTTTACCACAGAGTGTAGATTTTGAGTTAATGTGGGTTTGGACTTGAATGAGGGAGATTGGTAAATTCTTGTCAAAATGAGGGAGGGCTGGCAGTTATGCATAATTACAGTATAACAAAGAGGATATCCATTGAGCATTGATTATGATTGATGTAGTGAGTGTATTCTCATGTATGTACTAGAATAGAAAATCCTGAAACTTGATATATATCATCCATTTATCATGAGCTGGATATCTGTTGTATCCGGACTTCATAAGAAGGAGGAAATTTAATGCAAGATGTGATGTCGAAAAGTATATTGATATTACACCATCGCATATTTAAAAAAAAATTGGTTTAGTCATAATTATTTAATTTTGCCTGTTAGAAGCATTGTTCTGTTTTAAGCCTTTGTGATGATAGTGTTGTATTATTCAAAATAATTATCGGGTATGATCTTTCAAAAGTTGTCTAATGATGTGTTAAACTTTGTTTCTCTATTGTAGACACCAAGATGTAGACACCACGGAACAGTGTGGCTTGGTCAATAGAAACTAGGTTGACCTTCACCATGACCTTTATATATTGAAATACATCTCAACATTTTCGTATCGCATGGAATTTTCATGACTTTGAATGACAATAGATGGAACTAACAACGAATCTACGCAGTAAGAAAATTGGCAACTGGTCTCCCACCAAGTTTCAATTTTCTTTAGCGACGAGAAGGTCTACCTGGATCAAGTATGAGTGGTATGGATCACCAGGCTACAGTGGATAATAGGGGATTAAGAATGAAAATAAAACGTACGAAAAATATGGGACCTACAAGCAACAAAAGCGACACCAAACACGAAATTGTAAAACCCGGAGAGGCTAAAGCAGCAGCACACGGATCATCTTCTTCATCATCTGCCTCATCGTCATCTGATGGAATCTCAGCAGCTAACGGGTCTACTGTGGATAAGTCAAAACTGTCTACAGCCACTGACAGGGACAAATCTCCAAAGGTGAAAAATTTGCACAAAAGAGAACGTAGCAAAGAGAAAATGAATAAGGATTGTAATGCTACATCTCTGTCCTCTGTTTGCTCACTTGATGTGCCATTTTCTCAAGTTTCTCTGGAACCTAACCAGGCAGAAGTTCCGCAGGGGAAAAAAGAAAATCTTCTACCTGATCCCTATGAGTTTAATGCTAAAGTGGAGGACGGTATTGGTTTCCCTGTTAAAAAGATAAAAAGTGAAAAGGTGCGATACAGTAGATACCATTTGTTACAGTAGATGTCATGGAATTCGAACACTGGTAACATATGTTGCAAAAAATTAATGGGGTAAAAATCATCACAATACACCAATTGGGATGATGTGGAAACCATTTCAACAAAAGATAAAGTTACAAATTTAAGTCTAGAACTACCATGTTTCCTGGTAGTCTTATTCTGCAGTAGGTTTAAACTTGAAAGGACGAGCTGTTTTATGAAATTCCATGGCAATTACTGTATGTACTGATTGCACGTTCGGTTGTCTGAGTGACGTTAGAATGCAAGCTGACCTTCCCCTCACTCCACACCACAAGCATTAGTTCACAGTGTCCTTGTTTAGATATGGTGCTATTCAAAAACGGGGAACTTCCTGTCCAAGGTCCTGTTGTAGACAAGACATCTTGTTGCTTAAATTTAGATAACATATAAAAGTATTGCTTTTATTGTGTTGTCATGTCACACTACATGTAAAGATTTTCTGTAAAGATTTTAAGAATATATATTTTTTGAGGGGATGGGCAGGGTTATAAGTATGACACCATATGTACCTGGTCATTGTGTAAAACCCTTTGCTCCCTACCTAACAGTACCGCCACATGCTACAGCTGTAGAGTAGTGATATATATACAGGGGTATACCTGTACACTAGTTCGGAGAGGGTTGCCAAGGTTGTAATTTTGGCTAGTGCTTATCAGCTAATACCAGTAAAAGTGTTGTGGCTTGTGCATGGAGAGAAGAGGTACATTTGAGTTTATTTTCTTAAAACTTAAAAAAAAAAAATCCAGCTTTTTAGTTTGTCTTTTAATTGGTCCAATCAATTCTGTTTGGAACAATAAGTTGTATGTGTATTAGAAATCTGTTTTGACTCCGGCATGTTGCTTGTCTATGTGCTCCCGCAGTATTAGATGGTGAACCTGTAAAAGTTAACAGGGGATCAGAGGTGCTTTATACAGTATATCATTTAGAGACATCAGAAATGTGCATGACATGTTAAAACACCAGTGATACTTACATGATTGTTTTGCTTTATTTATCATTGTACAGAACTGCATGTAGTGCTTAGACAATGTATTTGCGTTCAGTGACATTAGTGCAATTTATATATAAACATTACAAAAAAGATAGACATTTTATTTATTTTTTAGAAAAATACTATATTTCAATATATATTCAAATTTCAGTAATGTAAAAGCAATTGTACTATCTTATCTTGTTAATTGATAATTTAAATGCATAATTTAACTTTGAAATTTACCAAAATGTTAAATTTAAAATTTGGAGAGAAATACACTATATATGATGATAAAGTGTGTATAAAGGTTACATGTTTATACCTTTCCGCCTTTCAGAACGATGCAACATCATCTACCTCGGCCAACTCTCAGGCACAGAGTTCGACCAATGCCAGTACGGAGACATGCAGTATAGGTGTTTCCACTGAATCTGAATTCCTCGGACCATGTGAACCCGGAACAAGTGTCACCCTTGAAGGAATTGTGTGGCACGAATCCGAAAATGGTAATGGATGGAGATGATTGTACGGTAGAATTTTGTAATGTAAAAGTTGGTTTGATTTCAGAGAATTTTCTTACAGGAACATTGAACTGTTCTTTGGTACATGGTTTATCAATAATTGTTGAAAGTTTTACTTTCTACACAAAGTCATTTAGCTGATACCAGTTAAGTTGTAGACAACATACTGTATAGATTTATGTTCATTCTATAAGTAAATGCTGTACAATATTTCGGTTTACTAATTATTGTACAAGTTCGTCAGGCACTAGAAGTTGTGAATGTACGTTTAATAATAAATATTTTGAACTTTTCATGTGATACTGTTGTAAAGATATAAGACATGTAACTAAGGATTCTCCAGCACACTTTGCTACCCTTACCTGTGTGTCCGACAAGAGAAATTTTGTGGGGAAGTGCTAGAAACACTAGATAATGGGATAACTTTGATATTAATACACCTCGTGAAACCCTCAATCAGAACAGTGATTGTAGTTAGGTACAGGAGTTATTTGTTGCATATATATCTGTGCAGCATTTACATTTGATCAACTAATGTTGTTTCAATAGGATTGAGGTACAGATTGTAAGACAGGTCTCTTAGACCGCATTGTTATTGCATATAATATACAACAAAAAACATTGTACCTGATTATGACCCTTGCTCTTATTTAGATTTATCGGGTATTGAAGGTACAAGATCTGTAAAACTTATTAGAGAAAACAAATTACATAACAAATCAAACCGTTATTAGATGCACTGTCTTTTAGGAATTTTGGTATGAAATTGATGCGATACATGAACAAGTGATCGACAAAAGTGTGGTCTCATAGCAAAATTATCATTAAGGCTTAAATTTACTAACTTTATAATATTGCAAAGGGCAGATGAAATCATTTTGATTCGACAAAAGTTAGAGTGTATGATGTCCCAATTAAAATACAACTGGATTGCCCTATAGCATAGGTTTGACCAGTATGACTGTGACTTAATGATGGTACCGTGCTGATCTACAGTATGTATGTCAGCCACTCACTACACCTAAGTTATATACCATAATCCCACTTTCCTTATTTCATTTGCAGGAGTCCTGGTGGTCAATGTGACCTGGAGAGACAAGACATTTGTAGGGACACTGCTGGATGCCACCAAGCATGACTGGGCTCCTCCAAGGTAAGGTATTCCCTATCCCAGGGTATTAGAGGAACATGGCTACCCCAGGGTATTAGAGAAACGGTGGCTACCCCAGGGTATTAGAGGAACATAGGCTCCCCAAGGGTATCAGAGGAACATCGGCTACCCCAGGTTATTAGAGAAACATGGGCTACCCCAGGGTATCAAAGGAACATGGGCTACCCCAGGGTATTAGAGGAACATGGGCTACCCCAGGGTATTAGAGGAACATAGGCTACCCAAGGGTATCAGAGGAACATGGGCTACCCCAGGTTATTAGAGGAACATGTGCTACCCCAGGGTATAAGAGAAACATTGTCTACCCCAAGGTATGAGAGGATTATGGGCTACCCCAGGTTATCAGAGGAACATGGGCTCCCCCAGGGTATTAGAGCAACATGGGCTACCCCCGGGTATTAGAGGAACATGGGCCACCCCAGGGTATTAGAGGAACAGGGGCTACCCCAGGTTTTTAGAGGAACATGGGCTACACCAGGGTATCAGAGGAAAATGGGCTACCACAGGTTATTAGAGGAACGTGGGCTACCCCAGGTATTAGAGAAACATGGGCTACCCCAGTGTATTAGAGAAACATGGGCTACCCCCGGGTATCAGAGGAACATGGGCTACCCCAGGGTATCAGAGGAACATAGGCTACCCCAGGTTATTAGAGGAACATGGGCTACACCAGGTTATCAGAGGAACATGGGCTACCCCAGGGTATTAGAGAAACATTGGCTACCCCAGAGTATCAGAGGAACATGGGCTACCCCAGGTTATCAGAGGAACATGGGCTACCCCAGGTTATCAGAGGAACATGGGCTACCCCAGGTTATCAGAGGAACATGGGCTACCCCAGCGTATTAGAGAAACATTGGCTACCCCAGAGTATCAGAGGAACATGGGCTACCCCAGGGTATTAAAGGAACATGGGCTACCCCAGGGTATTAAAGGAACATGGGCTACCCCAGGGTATCAGAGGAACATGGGCTACCCCAGGTTATCAGAGGAACATGGGCTACCCCAGGGCATTAGAGGAACATGGGCTACCCCAGGGTATTAGAGGAACATGGGCTACCCCAGGTTATTAGAGGAACATGGAATACCCCTACTCCCATAACATGAGAGGCCGCTGGTCGGCCTTTTTTCAATCGGATATGATTTTGCCGACTGCGACCTCTCATTTCCGAAGCACGAATTCTTTGATGCAGTTTCCGCCCGAAATCCGGGCGGAACAAAATCGGCTTGAAAAACTCACATAAGTGGTTAACAGTTCATGACAACGATGTCTACTCACGGTTTATATAATATAGATCTCATATATATGTCACAGACACAAATATATAGTATATTACGGAATAGAACACTCAAAATACATGTCCATGTCGTTGTAGCACATCTCTGACCTACATTTAAAACATGGCTTCTGGATTAATACAAAATATCAGGGGGGATTTCAAACGGAACGAAATGATACGGAGTTTGTTTGTATTCCGCTTGTGAAACATTACATGTAATCCATTTTTGTATTAACCGGAAAAATCATGGCAAATGCTGTCTGCTTCGCTTCGAATGAGGAAAAACTCATTATTTATGTCTTTGACATGAAATTTTTCTCATATAATCATGGATTTATGGAAAGGAATATTTATTGGACCCTTTTGACCATTTAAATGTATGTAAACACGATATACTCTTTCTTAATCCGAACTTTGAAAATGTGATAGTCAGCATCGGGAAAATCAGCTATGGGCAGTTAGAGGTTACGCGGCGCCTGTCAAAAGTTTTTCGCCGTGTAAAACCTCTAACATTGTTGGGGTAGGAATACCCCAGGGTATCAGAGGAACATGGGCTACCCCAGGGTATTAGAGGAACATGGGCTACCCCAGGGTATCAAAGGAACATGGGCTACCCCAGGGTATCAGAGGAACATAGGCTACCCCAGGGTATCAGAGGAACATGGGCTACCCCAGGGTATTAGAGGAACATGGGCTACCCCAGGGTATCAGAGGAACATGGGCTACCCCAGGGTATTAGAGGAACATGGGCTACCCCAGGGTATCAGAGGAACATGGGCTACCCCAGGGTATTAGAGGAACATGGGCTACCCCAGGGTATCAGAGGAACATGGGCTACCCCAGGGTATTAGAGGAACATGGGCTACCCCAGGGTATCAGAGGAACATGGGCTACCCCAGGGTATTAGAGGAACATGGGCTACCCCAGGGTATCAGAGGAACATGGGCTACCCCAGGGTATTAGAGGAACATGGGCTACCCCAGGGTATCAGAGGAACATGGGCTACCCCAGGGTATTAGAGGAACATGGGCTACCCCAGGGTATCAGAGGAACATGGGCTACCCCAGGGTATTAGAGGAACATGGGCTACCCCAGGGTATCAGAGGAACATGGGCTACCCCAGGGTATTAGAGAAACATGGGCTACCCCAGGTTATTAGAGGAACATGGGCTACCCCAGGGTATTAGAGGAACATGGGCTACCCCAGGGTATCAGAGGAACATGGGCTACCCCAGGGTATTAGAGGAACATGGGCTACCCCAGGATATCAGGGATATTGCCAACTGCAAGGTATCGGAGGGGCATTCACTACCCCAGGGCATCTGAGGGTAATTCTAGGGTATCCAGGGGACATCCTACCCCAGGGAATCAGAGGGTCTCTAAGGTGACAAGGAAGGAAGGTATTCAGCTTTATCCTTGGCTCCTTTGCATTCTAGCAATTTTGATGTGAATACACATGGGAAGTGTTATATCAATTTGGGCTTGTTAAATAGAATACATGTGAATCAGAATTATTTTTGAAAATGTAAATGGTATCACTATGCAGGAAGGGTGCGTTACCAGTTCTCTTCTATAACATATTTATTACTAAGCTTATTACAGAGTATGGATTTATAACGAGAAGACATTAACAGATTGTTTTTAATAAATGAACCTTAATTGAATCTAAATAAAAGATATATATATGATTGCTTGATGATGTTGTTTAAGTAAGCTAAGAAAACCAGTGAGTAAGTTTAACTGTGTCCAAAATAGGCTTGAAGTCGATCTTACTCATAATAGAAATTGCATTTGGATTTGCCTTAACTTAAAACATTAACTTTCACCTACCTCTTTATGTTACTTTAAAAACTCTACCAAACTAGATTAGTTGTGATGTGTGAAATGATACTGTAATATTTTCTATAATTTAATATTTATTTTTCTATTATCATGGATCTGCAGGTTCAATTGTGATTCTCCAGTCAGCGAGTTTGAGACCAGAACCCCTAAAGGGAGGGCCAAAAGAGGAAGGGGTTCTGCTTCCACAACACCAGTCAATGAAAAAGGGCCAGAGGGACGAAAACTACGCAAGGGACGGAAGGGTAGTAACACGTTCCAGGCCCCTCCCAGTCCTGCAAAGTGTGAAACCTCCATGTCAAGTGGAATGAAACGTAAAGGACGTCCTACAGATATCGATTTATCAGCAGCCATGAACAAACGCAGCAGGTCATGTTCACAGGGAAATCAAGGCACAGAAAGTCCTGTTTCCTCACTGATAGAATGTCCAGAACCAAATTGTGGCAAAAAGTACAAGCATCCAAATGGACTGAAATATCATCAAACTCATGCCCACCAGAGTTCTGGGGTCACGACTGATGTGGACGAGGACACGCGGGACACCTGTGACAATGTGGATGATGATGTGGACAGTAGTATCGCTGATCCCTCTGAAGCCCCTGACACTTCCACAAAGTTGGGCAAGCCTGAGGCCATGGAGGAAGCGAGTAAGAAGGAGGAAGAAGGTGCTAAGTCAGACAGTGAGAATATGGAGGATCTGGAAGTGGATGTGAACGGAGAAACACCAAAGGCAGATTCCGTGGAGAAAAAGGACCCTGTTGTGTCTACTAGTGTTTCTCTAAATAAACCTGCAGGAGGTAAAGCAATAGCTAGTATACCATCAGGAAATGCCTTCCAGATTGTGTCTAAGCAACATATTGCATCTCCTACATTTGGAGGAGTTGGTCTGCTCTCTCAGAGCCCGCTACAGACCGGATCTTTACCCAGTGGTCAAGTTTTGCCACTGGTCACTGCAGTAGTGACCACCAATCCTATTCCGACTGGGGCCCCTATCACTGTGGCAGCCATTTCTGCTACAGCACAACCTTTGGATCTGAAAACTGAATCGTCCAAAAGCGAAAAGCCAATTCGACCAAAGATCAGTCATATAATGCCCCAGATTGTTGCTTTGTCCACCAGTGTGTCTGTCACCCATACAAATGCTTCACCTGTCACCTCATCAAACATGCAAGGCACCTCCCAGCTAATTCCGATACAGCCAAAACCAACTCCCCCAGGGGAGACTGCACCACCTACTCCATCGTTTCTGGGTCTCAACAGGGACAGAAAGCCAAAACAGAAAAAACGAGACAAAGTGAAAGAGAAGGAGTCCCCATTGGCTGGTCCTCCTATCTGCCAAAGTTTAGCCGCCGCACCGATGAGGACTGGTAAAGTGGAACCATTGAAAAACGAACAACAAAGTGCAGGAGTCATAAAAGTGGCTCCTATTATAGCTAGTAAACCAATGGATCATAATAAATCGGAAAATTCTACAATTACGAGTGCTCCACGACTTGACCGGCTGGACAAGCCTCTGTCCTTGTCCACTTCAGGTGCCAATGTTGGTGTGGTTACAGCCCAAGTGCAGCCCTCCCCAAAAGGGGTGGATCTATCACAGACACGACAGACGGAACCACCTAGTATGTTAAAGGTTAACCCATCGCTGGCTGCCCTTGACAGTAGGTCAAACAGAAGCGAAGACGTACAGAGTCCCTCTTACTATTCAGACATTTCTGAGGAGTCAGGATCTCCTGCAACTCATCCTCAAAGTGAAAGCCCTCAGAAAAACAAGGACGAGAGCTTAACAAAGAACAGAGACAATGCCCCGAATGTGCCAAACATGCCCTCGTCCCAGCCTACAGTGATGGACAGTCAATCCGTTCCCCCTTACATGTACGGTTCCTATTACGGGCAGCAAGCCACGCCTTATCTACTGTCGCCCCAGAACATGTCGTCACCTGTGGGGACAAATTCTGGTCCAAATGCGCCCTCGCAGCAGCCACAGTCCCATCCCCATCACCCATCACAGCAACCCCATCCTCATCATCCATCACAACCCCACATCTCTTCACAGACCCCCAACAAGGACAGGAACACACCCTCAGAACAATCCAAAAATGAATCTAAACTAAAACGGGATGATTCCAAAGACTCTGATGGTAAAGATGATCGTGGGGATAAAGGTGATGCGCGGGGCATGACGCAGCAAGAGTACCATCATATGCAGCATCAGAAGTGGGTCCAACAACAGATGTACGCTCTACAGATCCCTCCCCACGCCCAGTACCAGTTTCTAGCCACATATGGGCCCTATTTTGACAATGCTTACCATATGCATATGATGTCCAATGATGCCATGTATCGGCAGCATCATGAACAGAAGATTGGTGAGGAGGAAAAGAATCGTGCAGATGGGGAGAGGAAGGAGGGAGATATACCTAAGCCGATGGTTAGACCACCCACCTCCACAGACAATGGTGTAGGTCAGTTAGGGGATGGGATGACAGGTAGAGGACCTCCTCCAGGGGATAGTCATCAGGGACACAAAGAGGCGGACCACAAAAGGGGTGCGTCAGAAGTGCTGTCAGAGAGGGAGCTTAAGGAAAAAAGTATGCGAGAAAAACAAAATGAAAATCACCAAATCATAAAAGAAAATCTAGATCTCAAGGATCAAATGGATAGAAATAGACTAGACCAGAGGTTTGATCCTGTGTATGGACGTGATAACGCACGCGATAAAACCAGTGAGGAACAACGGCGCATTCAAATGTATCGACAACAAGCTATGATTAGACATCAAAAACGGGAGGAACAGCACAAGAAAATGGGTGATGGTAATAAATATGAGCATAGGCCTTCTGAATCTAAATCATCAGTCATAAATCAGGTCAGTAGCAACAGCAGTGGGGCTGAAGGTAGACCAAGGGACCACTCGGTGGGGGCAGACACGGGCAAATCCAAAATTGAAATAAAACGAGAACCAGAAGATAAAGGGTATAGAGACTCGAGCGATGCAAGTGACTCAAAAGTATCTAGTGGTGACAAAAGTAAGTCGTTAACATCATCATCTTCCTCCTCTTCGTTAGACAGGATCAGAGGACACGACACGCCAAAGGGTAAACCTGGGAGTCGAGTGTCTAGCCCACACACGCCCTCCTCCAACCCCTCCAATGTAATTCCTTCTTCAATGACTCCCGCAGGCCCCAATGGGCCCCCCTACCCAGCCTACATGTACCCTAGTCAGTATATGCAGTCTTCAATGTATGGACAAATGCCGTTCGAGCCCACCCACCCAATGTATCGCGGGATGAATCCAATGATGTATGGTGCTTATCTTCATCCATCACAAATTCCTCCATATCCTGTCAATATGGAAATGGATGAAAAGGAAAAACTTGGTCTTGTACAGAAATTAGCTCCGACAGAAAGTGAGGGTAAATTAACAGACCCTAACCATGGACCTCTTTATCACAGCAGCTCTGGACCTAGTGCTACAAATAATAGTGCAAGTGTTAGTTTAAACAAAGGAAATAGTGGCCATAAAATTCATGAACTTCAGGAAAAGACTAGGTCTGTGGCAAGTCCACATCGGGCTTCACCAGTGTCTGTTGGTAAGCCTGAAGGGCCTCCCACCCCCACCCATTCCATAGGGGCAGTGGACAAGAACCGCGAGTACAGCAGCTCTCCTCCGACCCAGAGGCATGTTCATACCCATCACCACACCCACGTCGTGGAGGCTGCCTACCCTGTGGGCTATTACCCTGGTAAGTATTTGTGTGTGGCGGGTATTATCCTGGTAAATATTTGTGTACGTCGGCTATTTCTCTGGTAAGTATTTTTGTGTTGGAGATTATACAGTTATGGACCTCTGTGATGTTGAGTAGGTGATCATATGAACCTAAAAAAGTGATATTTCTTAGGTCAGTATCACTTGTTCAGGTTCACATCATGTTGTCACAGAAATCACCATCACAGAAATCTGTTTAATTGTAATCTTTAACAATATCTAAATAAAAAACTTAGAAGATATTTGGTTAGATGGTTTGGATGCAAAGTTTTCTGCCATGGTTTGTTCAAATCGTTCAATATGATTGAGATACTACATTGCTATTCCCTGTAAGTGGGATATGATTGAGATACTACATTGCTATTCCCTGTAAGTGGGATATGATTGAGATACTACATTGCTATTCCCTGTAAGTGGGATATGATTGAGATACTACATTGCTATTCCCTGTAAGTGGGATATGATTGAGATACTACATTGCTATTCCCTGTAAGTGGGATATGATTGAGATACTACATTGCTATTCCCTGTAAGTGGGATATGATTGAGATACTACATTGCTATTCCCTGTAAGTGGGATATGATTGAGATACTACATTGCTATTCCCTGTAAGTGGGATATGATTGAGATACTACATTGCTATTCCCTGTAAGTGGGATATGATTGAGATACTACATTGCTATTCCCTGTAAGTGGGATATGATTGAGATACTACATTGCTATTCCCTGTAAGTGGGATATGATTGAGATACTACATTGCTATTCCCTGTCAGTGGGTAGATAGTAGAAGGTTACTAGAGTGTCTGATACCTGGTATATATACTATTGGCTTTAAAGGCAAATGCTAATGATAAAACTTAAACTGAAGAGTTATAGATATTTCATACAAGTATAATGCGAGTTCTGCTTTATTTTCGGTGTTTATTGTCTCTGTATAATTGTCAGTGCCTAGATTGTCTTTGTCCACTTACTGACGTCACACAAGTCTACTGGTCTAATGATCAGTATAAATGTTGGTTAAATTGTACGGAATGTTCAGGCGGGCAGAGTAAGGTGTTGTGGATCCATACTTGATGCGTTTTCTGTTTCATTCCAGTATGACAAGTGCTGGTAGTTAGGTAAGATGGAAAAAAAATATTGCATGTTTTTTAAAACTTAAAACAACATGCAAAATGTAAGATTCGCAAAACCCCTGATAGTGTAGTTGTAAAAGTTTATATAATTTGTATAAAAACAGACATGAACTGTGTTGTGTAAAGGTGGTGGAGATCTGAATATTTTATACATGTACAAGCACTCGCATGGTGTACTTCTATTGTGAAACATATTTTATATTCTAATGTTCTGTTGGATAAGTGTAATGTCCAGATTGTCTTAACTAAGAGTCGTAGCATTAAACCTGTAAATGTAGATATGAGACTTTGATTCCCAGTGACCTGTTTAGATGTTTGCTCTATGGTTACCAGGTCTAAGATGTTGTGTTTGAAAGCAGTAAGATTTAATATTACCAGTATACTTTAATATCTTCAAAATATTTTGAGAATTTCTGCATATGAAATTCTCTATCAACAAAGACTTTTCTTTATCCTGTGGAAAGACAGTACTCAAAATGTTTTACTTGATTTTCAGGTATGTTTCCCGGTGCTAGTCAACAAAAGTCCCCTCCCGCTGCGGCTGTCCAGCCCCTGCCAGGAGAACCCTCCTATCCACCACCCAAGTGAAGGCTTCAGCACACATTGATTGGTGGATCTCTACTTTCTCAACTTCAGTTGGGACATTCCCCTTCTGTACCCAGTCAAACAGTTACAAGCAATGTGATGGTGGGTGTTTGCAGTATTCTTATCTATCAGTGCCAACAAAAACAGAAGATTGTAACAAGTCATGTGATTGGTTGACACCTGATGTTCAGTGTTGTTACCAGTAAGTCGAGTTTACAACTTCGGTTATAACTGATTGATTGAAACAGTTTTTGCTGCGTGTATATATAGTTACAGCAGTAAACTCAGCACCCATCCAGGTGTGCCTGTAATAACAGATCACTAACTACAAAGTCTCTTGTCAAATGTGTAACAACCCGTACGATTGGTGGATATTCCTCCGATGTTCCATGTCGAAGAACAAGTACGAATGGTGGACATTCTTAGTGTTTCAAGTGAAATGTGTAACACCCTTTAAATGATTGGTGTATGTTTATTTCAAACACCAATTTTTGGTTGAGAAAAGGTTTGTCGAGGATATGAGGAGACTGAAGGTGGTGAATGTGTGTATAATGTCCTGAGAAGATCGTGAGTTTGTGGTCTACCTGGTCTGTAGGTACCGTGATCGCAAGTCTGTGGTCATCCTGGTCTGTAGGTAACGAGATCACAAGTCTGTTTTCTACCTGGTCTGTAGGTACCGTGATCGCAAGTCTGTGGTCATCCTGGTTTGTAGATAACGAGATCGCAAGTCTGTTTTCTACCTGGTCTGTAGGTACCGTGATCACAAGTCTGTGGTCATCCTGGTCTGTAGGTAACGAGATGCGCGAGTCTGTTTTCTACCTGGTCTGTAGGTACCGTGATCACAAGTATGTTGTCATCCTGGTCTGTAGGTAACGAGATCGTGAGTCTGTTTTCTACCTGGTCTGTATACGTAGGTACCGTGATCGCAAGTCTGTGGTCATCCTGGTATGTAGGTAACGAGATCGCGAGTCTGTTTTCTACCTGGTCTGTAGGTAACGAGATCGCAAGTTTTCTACCTGGTCTGTAGGTACCGAGAAGAACTGGAAAGCCCTTGGTTACTTTGTCTGCCATCCCAGCTTTAGCAATAATGACCATCATCAGCATTCTTTTATGCGTACATATTTTAGATACCCTATGCAAAATTCAGTGTTATTTTACTTTTAAACACTTTTCCATCAATAACATCAATTGGCTTGACAAATCAAACTAAACGATTCGTGACTTTATACTGATAACATTCTGCCCTAGTAAACTGTAAAAAGGGGACTAAGAAATGTTAAATGTTTTAAACATTTTTGAAATACTTGAAATTCAGTTCAAAAATGAATTTAACATGGTTTGGTCTTGAAATGATTAAATGATATATATATATATATATATATATGTTTATTTCAAAAAGTACCTTTAATTCATTTACCCCTGAAGATACATTTGAACTGTTCCAATTACCGGTAAAAGGTTGGAATAGTTCATTATTAAACATCAGGTGTGAGTGAGCTAAATTTTTCATACACTGTACATGTATTAACAACCTGAATTTTTTTAATTCAGTTTTTGTAAAGATAAATGAGTTTAACGTAGAAAGAATCCAATGATATCTGATGACAGGGTAATTTTTTGTTTACTGCAATTTTAAACAATTTAACAAGTGTGAGTGTACACTGTCACTGAAGACAAGTTAGGTGTCTGACAAAGCTGTTACTTTCTGATCTGTTATAATTCTGTATCTGGAAGTACATGTAGCATTTTTAGGTCACCTGAGCTTTAGCTCAAGTGACCTATTGCTATCCGTTTTCGTCCGTCGTCGTCCGTCGTCCGTCGTCCGTCGTCCGTTAACATTTTACATTTCAAACTTAAAGTCAAGTTCTGCTGGGCCGATTGAACTGAAAGTTGGTAGGAATGATCAGCTCATGGTCCTGACAAAGTTAAGTTAACATTATACTATTGTTTACTCAAATTGGTACATATTTCAACAACAAAAATAAATATTGTGGGACTCAGGTGACCGTTAAGGCCCATGGGCCTCTTGTTCTCATTTTTGTTTATAGAACTATAAGCTGGGTAAGTGGAGTTTCTGCAGGTCAGTGTGCACTAATTGTGTGTTCTCTAGTGCAAAGAGCAGTATTGTTTACTGCTATTTTAATCAAAATGGTAGTTCTGTAGAATCGAGAATTTCACTTCCATTACGACACTCCAGTGCCAGGTTTGTGATGCAGTCTTCTTTTAAGGTAGATTACAGTTACAACGTAGGTTTCTCGATATATACCCTCACATGTGCTGAAATAGTGTCTGAAATATTAAAGCCATTTTCTCTATTTGTATAAAATATTTTTTAATATTTGGAAAGATTTTGTGTCGGGCACTTTTAATGTGTGTAAACTTAGTCTTTAGCATTGCACCGTGCCAAACAGTAGCTGCATTCTATTGCATTTCATTAAACATTCGGATGGACCCATGTCGTGGCATACAAGTGGGAGATTGAAAGCATAAAGATGTAGTCCTATTTTTACATATATTGTATGTTGTGAAATGATTGAATTGTACACATGTATCTCTAGCCAAACTGCCCACATGTGATATTTACATGTTTACGACGCCATGGTGATCAGAATGTGTGTGATATTTACTTTTAGTGAAAGTCATCCATGTGTCACTATGGACTAGAAAGGTTACCAGTATATAAAATTACTGAGAGTTGTAAAAGATGAAGGATAAAAGACTGTTAGATGTAGTAGTATGGGTTGTGTAAATGATTGTCACTTTGGTTGGTGTGAAGTTAGTACCAAAATATTATACCTCTGCTTGCAAGCAAGTTTTTCTTCAAGTTTTTGTATTATGTATCGAGTTCCATTGAACAGCTAAAGGCCATTTTTTTTTTTTTTTTTTTTAAATTACCAGGTAAAAGCTAAAATGGGCAAACATATGCATCTAGGTTTACAATTTTGCAATTATTTGAATTACTTTTTTTGGTAATTTTATCTTCTGCAATACATCAGTCCATCCACTTAAATTAATTACTTTGTTTCTATAAATGTTAGTACAGTAATGTATAATATATGCAAATGAAGCAAACGAGAACCTTGAATCTCTTGTCGTGTTTACCCATCTTTTACACATATGTATACAATTTTCTTAAATTAGAGTTGATGACGGGACACCTTTACACCTGAGGTTTGACACTAATGCCAGTACATGTACAACAAAATTATCAAGTCAAGCCAAAGCGAGAAAATATGTGTTCCGTTTTCTCTATACCAACATTTAAGGCCTATCCTACTTTGTTTCCTGATTTTAATCTAGTAGGCCTATTAAAGTCTTGTATGATGTCGTCTCTAAAATCTTTTAAAGTGATGTCCTTGACTTCCTATACAAATTTATTTTAATTTTTTGAAAGCCAAACTAATTTCACTTTGAAACTAGATCATATGCAGTTTTGAGTAGAAGTTAAGAATGAGTGTGGAGCTACAGACGAAGCTGTGGTCGTTATAGAGATGACCTTGACCTATATATATGTTAGATAACCTCTGGGAAGGTTAAGGGACCCAGTTATTCCTCCTGTGTATAATGCCAGTTTTTGGTGTCTCTTGATGTTCCACAGATGTTTATAAACACGTTCAGCCTTTGTTCTATTGTCGGGTGCTATCGGAGTATTGTCTACTTAGGTTTCCTATTGTATTCTAAGTCATTCCACAGTTTTCTAACAGCTATATAAAGCTCCATTTCTTTATAGAGATTGTAAAGTATGGAGTGTTAGTGTTTATACTTTAAATGTGTTTTATGAAATACTAATAGTGAATTTTCTAGGTGTTCACTTCAGTTTGAATAGTTTGTGTTCTGCAGTTACAGATGGGAATTAAAAAGGATTGTTAATAGTTTGTGTTCTGCAGTTACAGATGGGAATTAAAAAGGATTGTTAATAGTTTGTTGACATTTGATTGCAAAACTAATCACGATTTTGTTTTTAATTGAAATCACATTTTCTGGATTGTTCACCAGGTCCCATATGAATGTCACCAGGTCCCATATGAATCTGTGATTTTCTAACAAAAAACATTGCCCAATGCTGATAGGGTAATATTCCATTGATATATGTGATGTTTTTACCAAAATGCTGCCATGGAAACATCGAACAAGCATGTTTCTTTCAAATATTGAATGTCATTTAATTTTAAAATTCATATGCTAGTTTGTTTTTGGCAAAAAATATTTTTATAACTAGTTGTCAGATTGTATGAAAATATGCGAACATTCTCTATAATGAAATGGCATTAGTTGATACACAATTTTAATTATACATGTTGTTGCTATAATGATTGTGCTACCTCAGTATATCTAGTTCCTACTGCTTCTGACACTGGCCGCATTCTACTATCCTAGATTCACACTGTAATGCTGCATTAATGTAACCCAATCTCGTGTAAGTAAGCGTTTGAACGTTTGAACATCTTCTTCTGTTGTGTATAAAATTGCTTAGTAATTTAATTTTACCTTTTTCTGCGACATCCTTAAATTCAAGATTCTGACAAAGTTGCTGTATGACTTTTAACATTAGAAAACATGTTTTTCCCTAGTACCAGTTAATACAAATAGTTTCCTACAATCAATTGTTTTCCCAGTTTGTGCAACTACTGTCTTAAGTCACATTATTTCTATTCCAGTCTGTGAATGCGATGGATTTCAGCAATATTGAGAATATTTAGAAACTGAATTTTAATATTTTGTATACTGCATTGCACTTTTTCTTTCAATTAAATTTTCTAGAAATTTTGTTCAAAAGCAAATAAAAAATGCCTATGTATTTGCAAAAATTTCAAATATGTTGTCTTCAAAAGTTATTTTTAAATTGTATGTATGCGTAGCAATAATGGTCTTTGATCTGTCTTTTGAATACAATTGAAATGTGTCCAATACTGTGCTATTTTCTGATGAAGTGTAAATATCTAGAATTTAGGCGTTGTATATCAGTTGAAAAATGTAGGCAGCCTGTATGACTAGATCTAAATGCCTGCTATTTAAGTAATATCTTTTTGAAGTTGTAGCAGACAGTTCTAGAATTGTTCATATGAGTCTCAGTATGAAGACTTTTTTTTTTTTTTTTGTGTGTGACTTTTTTCTGTAATTTCAAGAAATGTATGTAGAACTATGAAAAGTGTATTATGTCGATGTTAATGTGATGATTCAGTAAATGTTTGTATACAATCAAAAAGGCATTGGCAGGATACGTTTCTATTGAGTGTTGTTAACACTATTTATACAAAGGGAGGTAAATATGGTTTATACAAAGGGAGGTAAATATGGCAGGTACTCTGAGATGGGTCAATGACACAGTTTGTGTACACAAAGTAGGTTTTGTACATGCCAAGATAGTCTGTGTAAGATTGAGATTGATGTACAGTTTGTTAGAAATACATGTACTGCAATGTTTACAAGTTTACCTTCAGTATTCATGTAGGAAGAAGTTGGAAGAGGCAGTGTACAGATTTTCTATGTACATTCTTCAGTACACAGGTGTACAGTGTTGTCGATACTGTACAAGGTACAGATTGTGTACAGTATTTAATGGTGCAGACTCTGTACCAAAGTTGTGAAGATTTTTGTAATGTAGACTGCGGTACAGCCTACATTAACAAACTGTGCGACAGGGTATGAGAACTGTATATATCTATGTCAAATTTAGAGAGAGAGAGAGAGAGAGAGAGAGAGAGAGAGAGGGTACGTATGTAAAGATTGAGAGTGAGGCAGCATGCACAGATTACAAATGGTGCAGTTATGGACGTATGAATGCATTATAGGGCTGCTTGTGTGTTCATTTTAAGTATGTATGCATGCACTTGGGAGTGATTGTGGCCAGTTAAAGTCATGAATATTCAGTAGACTGGCTAGTGGTCACCTGTATACAATTATATCTCTCTACCTATATAGCCACTAACTACAGTGCTGCAGTGTATAACATGGCTTTATTCTAGCCTCGGTGGTAAAGGCTCCTCTCCGGCATTTTATACATGAATAAACAACTATAAATATCTACTTGTTGTTTCGTGTTAAATATCTACTTGTTCAGATTATGGTCAATACTGGTACAATGGGCCTTGTCCACAAACGTGAAGAGATTATGTACAATTTCTTGATCCATGTAGGCTGTGTACATGTGCTTGAAACAAATGATCTAACTGGCTTGTATACCTGCAAGATAAAAGTTATCCTTTAACATTCAACAAGCCATGGAGTGAACTTTCCAAATTGTAATTACCACTTCCTGTTTTCAAGGAAACATTTTGGAACACTTCAAACTTGAAATTTGGTCAAAATGTAATACTATGGCGTAAACTTTTTACATTTTCAACTTCTCAAGAACCAGTGGATGGAACTTTTTCAGACTTGGTCAGAATCATCCTTGGTAGATGAGGCTACACAATTGTAAAATTCCTACCCCAACCCCTGGGGCCAGGGCGGGGCCCCAAAGGGAAAATTAACTAATATTTCAACAATCTTCTTCTCCAGACTCGGATGTACTACAGTCATTTTCTCTGCATGTAAAGTTTATTATAGTTTATATAGGGAAATAACACTTTTGGGTATATTTTGACAATTTTTCTGTAGGAAGTTATTTTTACTTGGTGAGAATTATCCTTGGAGGAAGATGGTTTCAAATTGTAAAATTGAGATTCCTACCCCAACCCCTTGGGCCAGGTCGGGGCCCCGAAGGGAAAATTAACCAATTTTTCAAAAATCTTCTTCTCCAGACTCTGATGTACTACAGTAATTTTCTCTGCATGGAAAGAAAGATCAGGGGCTGTAAATTGTAAATTTCAGAACCCAAGAGCTATCCGTTCTCCCTTGGGGAGGGGGTAAAGTTTATATAGGGAAATAACACTTTTGGGTATATTTTGACAATTTTCTGTAGGAAATTATTTTTACTCTGTGAGAATTATCCTTGGAGGAAGATGGTTTCAAATTGTAAAATTGGGATTCCTACCCCAACCCATGGGGCCAGGACAGGGCCCCAAATGGAAAATTTACCAATATTTAAACAAGAGGCCCATGGGCCTTAACGGTCACCTGAGTCCTACAGTATTTATTTTTGTTGTTGAAATATGTACCAATTTGAGTAAAAAATAGTTAAGTATAATGTTAACTTAACTTTGTCAGGACCATGAGCTGATCATTCCTAGACCGATTTTAAATAAGATCGGCCTATTAGAAATTGTTTTTAAGTTTAGAATAGGTATTTACAAAATAGCGGCTGTGGTGGCCATATTGGATTTCTGATTGACCTGAAAAATAACAACACTTTGTCAGGACCATGAGTCGATCATTCCTACCAACTTTCAGTTCAATCGGCCCAGCAGAACTTGACTTTAAGTTTGAAATGTAAAATGTTAACGGACGACGGACGACGACGGACGAAAACGGATAGCAATAGGTCACTTGAGCTAAAGCTCAGGTGACCTAAAAATCTTCTTCTCGGCAGACTCATATGTACTACAGTCATTTTCTCTGCATGGAAAGAATTTGGTGAATGAGGGTATTACAGTGTAAAATTGGGATTCCCAAAGGGAAAATTTACCAATATTTTAAAATTATTATCCTTTGATGACATGACAAGTATTATATTTCATTTAGTTTACATGCTGATTTCCACATCACATCTAAACAATAATAAGTCAGGTGACCGCTAAGGCCCTTGGGCCTCTTGTTGAAATTTCTATGGGGATGATTATGAGTGCTCAGCATTTAAAGCATAAATAAAATGTGTATGATAATAACATTTTTAATGGTATCTTTTGAGGTGTTATAAAATCTTAGAAAATAAGAAAAGTGTCGCTGGTTGAAAATACTCAATTTTACTGCCTCCAAAATGATAGTTTCATCATACTTGATAGTAATATATGAAAGTCCTGCTTAGTCTAACAAGTCCTAGGTAGATGTTGAATTTCTTTAAACCCAGTTGATGTGATGTGGACTGTCCACCCTTCAAAAAACATGGCTGCCATATGAAGAGTGCAAAGTTCTCCCAGCCCTCTGGCTCAGTTTTACAAAAGTTCTCGACTTTCTCGTCTGGACTCAAATATCAAGTTTACTCATATCTAGCCATTTGTAAGGAAAAATTACAGCTCTTCAAAAGTTTTCAATAAATATATTCAGCTAATTGATTTTTTTTTATCAAAGTCAAACACTTTTGCGAGACAGCATGGTTGCACTGTGCTCCTTTAGTTTTGAGGCTAATATGATTTATTCCTAACAACTACTTACTGAAAAACAACAACACATTTCAGTCGTTTAAATTTAACTTTACTGAAGGCATTCTTTTATTTTTTTGCCACTTGGAAACATGTACAAGGGAATATTCATTTCAACACACAATATTGGAACTCAACATGCCACATCATCAGCAAGTAGAAAGGGGAGATATAACTACTGATAATAAAAAAGTGGGACAAAAAAGGCAGAAAAACACATTCTACTGGAGGCATTATCAGGCGATTCCAATATGAAAGGCAGTGTAACATACTGTAAAATAAGCACAGTGAAATATCCAAGTACAAAATCAGCTGTTAGCACTGTAAAGGTAAGAATCTGACATTTAGCCTTTGAAAGCAAAACCATTGCTATCAGTTTTCTGTTAAATTGATTGTTTTTTCATTTCTTTAAGTGCTCTAAATTTTAAAAACTTTTATAATAAAATATCATTAGCTGGTGACTTCATACATAAGTTCAATATATTGGCAGTCTTCTGACAATTATGTTACTTTTTATTTTTTACAATGGCAGTCTGCCAACAGTCATGTTGCTGGTTTCATTATTTCACTGTTCTGCAAACTAGTTCTCTCCCTTTACTCACAATATGACCAAATGGCAGAGTCTACAAAAATCACAAAAGCCAAAATGGCAAAAAAAATAGGAACATTTGACAAAATAAACTTTCAATACATAAACATTTCACGAAATAGCACAACACAATATCATTCATACCATTAAGTGTTTAATATAATATATATATATAAGTATATGCATATCTTTATAATACTTTACATCAATTATGGCAGGTATTTTACTGTTGATTCAAAGTATTATATAGAAAGTTTCAGGTTGAAAGCACTCATAGATCTGTTCCACGTAAAGTGAAGACAAATGTACAGTAAACTAGAACAACTCTGCCTTCAGATTGACCTCATAAAATAAAGGCTTCAGTAGAACAAGTCAATGTAATATTGCATACTTCCATGTAAATCAAACATAAGTCTGGTGTTGAACTTTGTCCTCTGCACAAATGGTTGGTTAATATTCCAGGTGTAAATAACAGCACAAACGAACAACCATGCATGTTCACAGTGTTCCTTCCTCAATTCATACACTTCAAAGTGTAATTGTAAAAATAGAAAAAAACTTCACTGAAGTTATAGACAAGAAAATACCACAGTTACAGTATATAATGCCATGTCCAAGCCATCAAACCAGATAAAGTAAACAAATTATGCATGGGCCTGTTCGTTTATGGGGAAAAACAAGTATGTCTGTTTTTAAATTTAACATTTTCGGGTATAAATCCTGGCGGACCTGCACAAGTTTATGCAGGCCTTGCAAAGTTTGGTCAAGGCTCGCCTAAAAGCAGCATCAGATCACTGGGTCCGACCTTATTATATAAACGAACAACTCTGTGTCCAACAGGTTCTACCGTTTGGACCGCGATAAACGAAAACGGCCCATGTCACACAGTTAACACATGTTGCTGGGACAAGATCACCAGTACAAACTTGGCGTACAAACTTGGTGTAAAATATTAAAAATGTGTGAGATAAAATAGAAGTTTAACATTCTGAATAACAAAGATTCCATGTACACAAAATAATGACCATTACCAAGCCTGTTTACGTACACACATACATGTACAAAATGTAGGAAGGTCTTCCATACTTGAGTTACTTGGTTATGTCCCTTTGATTTGGTTATCTCCCTTTGGCTAACTAGATCTCTGCATAACATGAAACATTTTTTAAGTTCCTTTTACAAATTTGTGAAAAATCAACTTTAAATGTTGAATTTTTCATTTCGCATAAGTCAGTGGTATTTTTGAGTTTGACATGACTGAGTATGTTCATACATTGGTGATGTGGGAAAGGAACTCGCTGTACACCCATCTCAGTCTGGCATGGCGTTGTACAGTTCTATAATGCCATCAATGTCCTCAGGGCTGTGATCAAAAGTGAAAAACAAATACTCATGAACACATGCCACTTGCATGGGTATTTGATACAAATACACAGGGAAAATCTGTTTCTGTCGTAGAACAGGAGTCACTGCTCCATTTTAACCATGAACATCAAGAAAAAACCCAGTACCCAGCAAACCTTGCAGGTTAAACCGAACATATACACAGAAAAAACGAACTGGCAACGGAATTACAAAATGTACAATAACGAAACACCTGTAGCAGTATGGTTTCTTCGTACCTGTTTTTTGTGTCATACCTTCGTTTGTCTGAATACATGCTCATCACCATTACACACAGACTGTACAGGTAAAGAACACTTTGGTGGTTCCTTTCCTTGTCCTCACGTACACAAGCTACATCATTGGGAATCCCTTACAGAGAATCTTGTAGTTTCCTTATCAAGACAGTAAATTCTTTTCAATCTATGATAACTTATTACAAAGTATATCAAGTGAATGATTTCCTTTTCTAGGGTAACCTGGCATTAATGAAAATATTACAAAATGTATCCTCAAAACTCCCAAGTATACAAGTAAATGAGTTTCCAAGGTATAAGCCTTCCCCTTCTCCCATACAACTACTCATTGTTTTATACCTGATGACGTGCCGAGGGAACTTTCTAAACAGATACTGGTAAACATACCTCTGTAATACATGTTCTTGAATAATCAATATTACATTTACATTTATACACCACAATCATCAACACATATTCTAGTAGTTCGGTTTGAAAGCAAGGTAAATACAAAGAAAATGATTTGATAATAAACAGAACAATAAGGTGATAGGTGTCAAGCATACAAACTATAGCATCACACAAGTGCTATCAACACTATAGCATCACACAAGTGCTAGCAACACTATAGCATCACACAAGTGCTATCATCACTATAGCATCACACAAGTGCTAGCAACACTATAGCATCACACAAGTGCTATCATTACTATAGCATCACACAAGTGCAATCTTATAGGTGTCAAGCATACAAACTATAGCATCACACAAGTGTTATCATCACTATAGCATCAAACAAGTGCTATCAACACTATAGCATCACACAAGTGTTATCATCACTATAGCATCACACAAGTGCTATCAACACTACAGCATCACACAAGTGTTATCATCACTATAGCATCACATAAGTGCTAGCAACACTATAGCATCACACAAGTGCTATCATTACTACAGCATCACACAAGTGCAATCTTATAGGTGTCAAGCATACAACCTATAGCATCACACACATGCTACCTTATAGGTGTCAAGTATCCAACATTTTAGCATCACATAAGTGTTATCATTTTCATCATAAAGATCTACAGAGAATGTCTTTGATCACAAACAAACAAGGGGCTGGAAACCTTCCATGTCAGAATCATAGTTTCTAAAACACAGATGACGAAAGAGAAAAGTGCCACCTTTTGATCTTCATACAAGAATAAAGACATTTTTTAAGAGATAAAGTTGAATAGCCACCTAACAAGATTGATCTCCCCTTGGATGAATGATGCTATGTTCAAAACATTTTAAATTAATTACTTTATTCACCTTTATTTTTTTTTAAATAAGATAATAATTATTTATACCTTTGATTTCGCCATTAGTTAACATAAGCAAAGATACTGAAACCTTTTCTGAGCTGAAGTTTACTGTTATACCCATCAAAGGGAAACTCCCAGGTATTGTACTGTACAGCTGTATGGACTGGAGCTATCAAAGTATCTCTAGTACTGCATTCCAAATAAGATGAACTTCAGAAACTTCTATAACTGATGTTCCATTACATATATCTGGATTTTATAGATTTGTTACGATATATGTCAAATAATGATTTCACATCATTACAGAATTGTTACAGCATTTAAGTCAAATAATGACCTTACATCACTCAAAATATTTTGACTAGATTATCTACCATGGAAAAAAAATCAACAAACTAATAAATACAAGAAAAAATTGATTGAAAATTATTTTCACAGCAAAATATTCATTCATCACAATTATAATACATATAAATTTGGTTACTGAACATCTTAAAACTTGACATGGAAATCAATAGAGGATCCTAACTTACCAGGTAATTTGACAAAACGCTTCATTCTTAAATGTGTGGAATAAAACGAAAACAAGGTAAAATTCTGTTATTGATTAGTGCGCCTGACTTGTGCTCCTCAGAAGAACAACCATTAGATTGTCTTGAACAAGAGTGATTTCTACTGAACACATATAAATACTTGGCTATCTATTCCACACACATCAGATTTACCAATATAAAAATTAACATTCATGGACATTATTACGTGAAATAAATACAAAGTATGAAAATTGTCACAATAACGCTAGAATATGAATGAAAAAAAAATAATTTAATACAATACAAAAAAAAATGTTTGTAAATAATAACCTCATAAAGCACATATTGCAAGCTTTCTCAGATACTCTACAGTCTCAAGCACTAAACATACATCTTCATACCTCTAGCCAACACACAGATATAGGTACACGCAGAGGTCTCCTTCACACTTACTTGGCCCCACATCGTTTCTTTTACAACTTTTGCGAAACAAACATCTCCAAGTTACCCATATGGACCTCATGTCATAAATAACCCAAAATAATTCACCCCATACCATATATCATCCCTAAAATCTGGCCCCATATTGTGTTTCAAGAACCCAAAACATGATAGCATCTTAAGAGCCCTTTGCAGGCCCCATACCATGCATATACCACATGGACCATCCCTCAAATGCAAAGACCTACTGACCCCTTTAAAAGGTGATCAGATGGGCCTTATTTCTATAGCTAGCCCAACAGACAATGGCCTCATAGCATGTACACAAAAGGACCTGCTGACCCCATAACATGAATGGAAACCCCAGGAGTCCTTTCCAGGTCATGTATGGGTGTCTTCTTTATCAAGCGACATGGTCCAACAACTTTTTAACCTATACATAATTGGGGCCTACATATAGCTTGTCCCATAGTGGAACCTGGGCTGAATACATTCACACAACAATGCTCAGGGCCACAGCAGCCCACGATTACCTCAGTCAGATCTACAGTCACATTGAACATACAGACAGAGAGCTTAGGACCAAACAAACTGCCGATCAACAAGCGAGAAACATCTACAAAGATGTAATTGAGTTTAGGTGTATCAAGACCAAGCAAAGTCCATTATATGACTGCTTGTCTGTCAGAATCACACAACTTGCAGATTCTTTAGGACACTTTCAGTTTTTTGAAACGCATGACTTACACATATCAGAACTGTTTCCCTAGTCACATGATCATTGTTACTAACTACACAATCTTTACAAAGTGAAATGAAAGTGAGCTCCTTCATCGACCAAACTTTTTCATATAGCTGATCCCTCAGACTTGCACACTCTCACATCTGCATTCAGAACTCCAGCCGGAAAGCGGAGCAGCTTGTCTCATGATCCTGTAGCTGGATGGTACACCTGGCGGCAGACGGGGCGACGTCTACGTTGAGATCACATAGGCGGTCCTTGTTGAGTCCCATCCAGTGGCGTACGGTATCATTGTCGTATGTAGGGATGATGGTGACCTTCAGGTCCTTGTCCTCCCATGTCTGTTTGGCGTCAAGGAGGGCGTTCAGCACTTGTGAGTTAGGAGACAGGGAACTTAGGACGTAGAACCTGGCTCGGATACGTTTGAAGAATTCTATGTCGCTGTACTGGGGATTTCCATGGTTGGGTATGTAAGACAAATCTATATAGAAAGGAGTCAGCGGAGGGAGGGGAGGGGTCTTGGAAGTGGCAGGGGACGCTCGATTACCAGTGGCTGTAGCCGGTCTTCTGCCTGTAGGTTTGCTTTTTGAATCTGTTGATGATGGAGCGGCTGCACTAGCTGGGCGGGCCTTGGTGGTTGTGGATTTCACACCATTTGTCTTTGCATTTCTGGCAGATGAAGGTGGAACATTCTTCTCTGGTTTATCTCCTATCTTTGACTTGTTTAACTTGGCAGATTCTGGTCTCTTAGTTGCTCCAGGTTTGGCTTTCTGTGTACCCTTCTCTGTAGCTTTACCGTTAGCTGTTGGCCCAGGAGATCCCTCAGGTGGAGGGGGAGCAGGCAGACCCATGGGTTCACCCCACTCTTTGGGATCAAAGGTCTGTCCATTTGCCTCCCCTTGGTAGCTATCTAATGGCTGACCAGAACAGCTGAAGGGGTTAGTACTTTGTGTGTTAACACCGGCAGAGAAGAACGGATCAAATGCTGCAGCAGCTCCATCTGTTGGGCTGGCCTGCTGTTGAGAACCCTCATTAATACTCGTAAATGGATTAAAGCTGGGATCTGTACTAGGTACAGCAGGCTTGTCTTGCAGACCTATAAAGGAACTGTAACCATCAGCATGGTAGGCATCACTTTCTACATTTTCTTGTTCTGGAAGTCCTTCATCTTCCTCTTGGGAGTCCTCGGATTTCAGATCCACTGGATCGGGTGTTTCGTCTTTCTCAAAGGCTTCAGGAATGTTTGATACTTCCAAATAGTCTCCATTCTGGTGCTGGGTTTCTTCCAAGGAATCATCTATAACCTGAACATCATCATGTGACATAGCTCTTCCATCTTGTTCACCTTCCACCTCCTCAAACTCCTTCGCATCACCTTTGATGTCCTCGTCTTTTTCAAATGCATCAACACACTGTTGCCCATCATCAGACTGAATGTCTTCCACAGGTTCTGTTGAGGGTTCATCTCCAATATCGTCAGCAGACCCCTCTGTAAAGCCTTTGTTCTCAAATGCATATGGAGAAACATCCTCTGGAGGGTTGTCTTCAGGAAGAACTGTTTCTCTGACATCGCCCTGGCTGTCCATTTCATCTGGTGAAATATCTCCATCATCCTCTTCCTCCACCTCGTCCAGAGCGTGGTCAGAAATGTCAGCCTTCTCTTGTGGTTGTTCTGGCTCCACTGGGGATGGTAACATTTCCTGTGTCCCAACCACCTGTTCTTTAACCTCTTCCTCGTGTTCTTCCCGCCTACTATCCTGAAGATCTTCAGATTTCACTTCCTCTTGTACTTTCGGCTCCTGTTCTATAAAATCTTCATCTTGTTCTTCCGGCCTATTATCCTGAAGATCTTCAGATTTCACTTCCTCTTGTACTTTCGGCTCCTGTTCTATAAAATCTTCATCTTGTTCTTCTGGCATATTATCCTGAGAATCTTCAGATTTCAATTCTTCATGTATTTCTGGCATGACATCTTCCTGTTTTTGAAAATATGGTTCATTAATCTCATCAACTGGAGACCTTTGCTTCATTTCCTCCATTTGAGCATCCTCCTCCATTTTGTAATTTGTAGCATAGAGGTCCAAGTTATCCTTTGGTTGTGGTATGATGTCTGTCTCCTCTGTTCCAGGAGATTCTGTGCTTGGAGGATCACTGAGAACCTGGTCCTGGGCAGTATCTAGTGAGACTGGCCTGTCAAGTTCCTGAACTGACTGTTGTACATCAGGTTCAGCTCTGAATGATGGTACAACATCTGGTTCTGCTGGAATATCCCTCACTGGAGACTGGGGGTCTACAGGGCAGAGAGGTTCCTTGGTAACTGGGGACATTTCTGGTATAAGGTCAGGTTCTTGGGGTGAGTATGCCACAGGTTCTGGTAGGGACTCTGGCTGTACTAGGTCAGTTTCGTAGTCATGGCCTCCATTCTCCATAGAGACATCTTCAGGGGCCAGTATGTCATTCTGAAGATCTTGGTGAAATGAGCCGTACATCAAGGAGCTCTCACCCTGGTTAGCAGCAACTTCAAATTGATTTGGGTCGGGAAGAGGATCTGGTGACTCAGATTTCTTCTCGGATTCCACCAAGGGTTCTTGTTTGGGTACGAGTGTGTCAGTCATGTTATTGAGTGGTTCTTCAGGGGTTATATCTATGAGTGATGCCTGGGTCCCCGACAACAGATCAACAGCAGGCTGAGAGGGTGCCACTTCCAAAACAGGTTCCACAAGCGGTTCCTGTGGAGCAATGACTGGAGCCACACTTGCTACTGGAGTTTGGGGCTTTCGCTCTGGGGATGGCGTTTTCTGTTTGCTTGGTGTAGATTTCTCCGCTTCCTTTTTAGCTGAAGGTCTTGGTGATTGTGTTGACATTGGTTTCTTTTTAGCCTCAGTAGGAGAAGGTTTCTTTGGTGTTGTGCTCGTTGGTTTCTTGGTAGCAGACAAATCGGGTTTAGCAGGCTTTGGTGCTGTTTTGTTGAGAAGGGAGGGCCTAGACTTGCCTGTCTTGTCCTCTGCCTTCTTCTTGTTCTCATCCTCCTTAGAGACTTTGTTTGATTTGCTGGTTGCAGCAGGTTTATAGGCAGGTTTATTCTCAGGTTTCTTTTCAGGTGTTGCTTTTGGGGCTGTTTTAGCTGATGCTGGACGACCTGCTGGTCCACTGGGTTTTTTCGGAGCAGGCTTAGCTTCCAGATCTTTTGGAGTGCATGTTGGTTTTTTTAAGAATTTTAAATGTTTCAATTTTTCCAATCCCTCAATAATCTTGTGTTGAGGAGCATTTCCAGGGAAGAAAAGACGGTTGATATCAGCATCAGGATCCGCTGGCTGCCACACTAGTAGGCAGCATATTGATAACATGTTCGGAAGTGGCACATTCTGGGTGGAGCCAAACTCCATCACCTGCTTGTTCCATTGTTGATAGAAGTCCTTAAGCTCCTTGCTGTCAGTGACAGGGTTAAGTATGTACATGTCCAGGGAACCATGGCCGACCTTGTGATACAGGTTCACAGGCGTGACGGTAGGGTTAGTACCCAACCGGGAACAGGGCTGAGGAGTGGAAATAAGGTTCTTTGAAAATTCCAGTAATTTGCTTCCCTCTTCTGCTAAATTAATAGCAAGGTTCAGTTCCTTGCCATTTAAACCATTGACCTCAGCATCACCTGCCTTGTCAGAAGCATTTAAGTACATAAAGCCGATGTCGGGATGGATGGTTTCCATGCTCTTCCTCTTCAGAACAGAACTTATACCAAAGATATTATCAGCACCGAGATGAGTCATAAGTACAGCATCAATACGATCAAGATGGCGGGCAAAGTCCCAGAAACATGACTTCCTGCTGTATCCGCCATTGACTAGAAGGTTAAACCCACTGATACCAAACATGGCAGAATCACCTTCACAGGCGGGGAATATGTATAGAGTAGGCTTGCTGAATCGGATGTTACCAACAACATCAGAAGTACGCATTAACTGTTGAATGGTCTTGGCGTGTATGAAGCTACTGATGTACGTGCTGAACTGTAACACGCCATTGATGTCGGATAACTTCTCCTCAGGATTTAATTCCAGGGTGAGACTTTTGCTTACGTCTAGTTTATTGATGCTTGAGTTTTTCCATTCCCCTCCTGCATTGCAGTATATCGTCATCTTGCCACCGTCCTGTTGTTTCAAAGCCGCCTCAATGTCGCTGTCTTTACAGAGACGCCCCAGCTGGGACACGGTGAAGCAGTCGTCCTGTAGGACCCACGATCCACTACCGGCGAAGTAGTGGCCAGCATAAATAAGGTGTCGGTTATCAGCTGGCATCATCAGGAAGGTTCGGAGGGACTGTTGCAAGGTCTGCAGTCGGGGGTTGACCAATATCTCCATGGCAATCTTCTCAGATCGGTGTTGAATTGTCCTCTCATCTGCAATGACACAAAATGAGAAAACAAATAAGATACACATTTTGAAATACCTTCCATCTGTTTGCTTAGTTGTTGGTTGTTTGTAATGAGGTATTAAAATTCTGGCTGACACGTGTTCTTTTTTTCATTATCAGTATATGAAATTAAAATTCCTTATCATATCTCAATTTTACCAATGATGACGTTATAAACAACACCGACTCCAATTGCAAAAAATATGAAATTATTGCAGTATAATTGAATTTTGAACTTAAAGAGAGAAAAAAAATATACATAGTACAATATATAGTTTTGTTATCATAAGCTTTGATTGTCATTTCAGCCTTTTTCAGGTTCTGTAACAGCAGGAAAGGTCTATTCTGAATGAATTGGAATAAAGAACGATACAAGATTCAGGTCAAGTATATTTGAAATTATTAAGGTCAAAAAGATATTTTGTACATCATTTCCTGCTTGGTTCTAGCTGTTATTAATGGTAACAGAGCAGTAGCAGGGGTGTGGCTTATCTGCTCCATCACTCCTGTGTGTTGATGTGTAGAAGGACTGGGTACTCCGATAACCTATCTTATAACATATGTTTGTCATGTTTCCTCCTGCTTAGTCACATATAACCACTTGACCTTTCATGTGACCTAGGTCATCGGGTCATTTATAGACATTACACACATGATGTGATTCTGAGAGAGCAACATATGTAAAGAGTCTGTACTATTACACTGATGAAAAAAAATCCGACTATTTTTGTAATTAGTAGTATTAATGCTGAAAACAATATTCAAGTACAGAGATTAAAAGCTATCACGTTTAGATAATGCATTCAAGATACAAATGTGCTAATATTCTGCAACAACTGATTTGAAATGACTAATATAATGTTATGCTTGAGGCAACAGGATCCCCAGGCCCCAGTAAAATAAACACTTTAAGTCTGTCTTAAGCTAAGCTCAAACTAGATCTCCCATAGACTTAATCTCAAACTTACCTTATCATCCAAACACATAGCATCAATACTTAGGATCTTAAGCTCAATTTAAGGCAACTCAAAGGGTTGGTTATATCCTGTCATGGTAATAGCAAGAAGAGCTATATACCAACCCAAAAACACTTGACTTGGCCCCAATATTCATAAAAGTATTATGCGTAAAAAAAAAATCAAAAAAAATCTTGTGACAGATTCAAAAAATTAATACAAACCATAGCCTCAGCTAAATACAGAAAATATAATGTATACTTTGAAATGTTGAATAGTAATTTCTCACTAAGAACTTAAAATGGTTTCACGAATACAGATCGGCCAAGTCTTAGGTGTTTTATTGAGAAATATCCTTGCCAATATTACTGAGAGTCTACATTGCAAGTATATGATTGTGCAACGATTTAAAGGTTCATTGTCTCGTTTTGTAGCATCAATTTTTCATTCGACTGGGAGCCAATCTAGCATTGACATCGATCCTTGGGATGGATCACCGCAGACATTAGCAATGCCAATGGCAATTCAAACAGCCTGGTATCTGCGCATCCAACAGCTGTGCAAGAATGGGGTTATCAAAGAAATCTCATTTTACAGTATATAAATAAACCAAGAAATATAGAAAATTTGTCAATACAAGTAAGTGAAAGAATGAATCGCCTCTTGTCAGAATGTATGTGGTACAGGAGGTAGTACATAAACATGCTGATGTCCAAACATTTTGTTGTATTAGATGTTTGTCTTGGTACAGAGGCTGATCACCCTTATCTCTGAGAAATACTTGGTATGGAGGCTGATCACCCTTATCTCTGAGAAATAGGCATAAGCTAATGACATCTTTATTCCAATCCAAGAAACATCACTACTTCCTAATACATCACACAAGATATGGAGATTTCCCTATAACTACCCATACGATCAATAGCTCCTTATTTAGGATGTTTAAGGATGATCAAATGGGCCTTAAGCACCCCTACATATCACATTGGAACGACCTGGATCAAAGGAAGAGATGCTGTAAGGATGATAAAAAGGGATGACACAGAAGATGCACATATGCATATATTTTAATCTGATGATATACTTGACACATTGTAGTTTTAAATGGAGACATTGTGAAGTTGAAGTCATATGTGCAAGAAAAATTAATTATACTTTGGTTTGCTGAGAGCATTTTAACCACAGAGTTGGATAGAATCTAGTTCCACGTGGTAACATCACTTATTTATATATCACACAATTTGTTCTGTAATACATCATATCAGACTAATCTGGGCAATTGCTCTTATAAGGGTACCCCGTGCTTGTTTAGAATTGAATTTGATTTGATATTGTAAAGTAAATGGTGGGTTTTTTTCTAATTCCTTTCCAGTTTTACATGTTCAGGAAGTCGTTTGGTTGGTTTGTTAAGATAACTCCTAGGCTTTGTACAGGAGTATGTTGAATGACAACAAAGCGGCCATGAAATATCTGCTGATAGACCTGACGTGACCAATATTATCTATCAGAATGAGATCTTCATATCTCTGCAGTGGGAGCAAATTTGTCAAAATACAAGGTATAATGTTTACTGAGAAGACATGCCAAAATAAATGTGTCCCGCTCCTCGTCATTTACCAATGCCTGGCACCCTTATCATGGCAGATAAAGTAACCCATTCCTCCTGGCATGTCTGCATCAGATAGTGACACTCAATTAACAAATACTGATCACCATTACGCAAACACAGGTTAATGGGAGAGAAACATGCACGTTTGTCAATTTTGTTGTCAGCAACCTGACATTGCAATAATATTGCAGTCAGATTCATAAATACCAGCTGTTTAATACAACTACTACCCACCATCCAAAGGGGACAAAGTTTTATTGGTTAATTCCTTTCCATAGTCTCTGCAGATCAGAAGACAAGTCATTCTTTACCCTAGTCTGAAGAGACTCTCATGTCAAAATCATGACATTCATCTTAAATATACGTCTCTGAACACTCTCACACATGAAATCTGCCTTTTCCAAGTTTGGTGACTGTTTCTCTGTGACCCTTTGGGAAATCAGCATTATACTGAACCGGATGTGACTGTATTTCCTGTAACACTATCGTCTAAAGCTGTATGTGTCACTGGAGATCCAGTCTGTCTCTGGCCTTGAGTGACAAAGATAAGTGTGTGTCTGGCAATTTACAGTGCAAATATTTACACAGGAAGACAAAAATGCAACTGGATTTTCCAGAATAAATTACAGATATAGCCTTGTTATATATATGTTTTTTCCCCCATTTCTAATGAGAACTGCCATACTGTTTTTTTAAACATACTGTCATCGGATAGTCAATCCAGTCTCTCACAGAAGGTTTGTAAATCTGACAATATAGACAGTATCACCTGTGTCATAAATCTGACAATATAGACAGTATCACCTGTGTCGTAAATCTGACAATATAGACAGTATCACCTGTATCGTAAATCTGACAATATAGACAGTATCACCTGTGTCACACCTGTATGTTATACTAAACAATGCCTCATGCTTAAGCAAATGATGACATTCATGACATCTGCCTCTAGCATGTTTAATTCAATCCAAAAATCCCTTGCCTTTCCCCCTGAGCACCCTAACAATTTACAAGCTCATGATAATTGGAAATGGTTGATAAACAAACCTGGCATTTGACTGAAGGGACATCATGCATTTCACATATGAATTTAACATACTCTGTCCTGAGTGCAAAGAAAAATTGGAATACCTCAAATTAAGAATCCTACAGATTTCATGTCACAAGTCAAAATTTAGAAAAAAATGCTGAATCTGTATTAGAGGGTGTTTTATGTGTATGATTAACAGCTTACAGCTGGTCGCACTTGGCCCTCTGCCAGGTATGCTTGTTGTTATTTAAACACGGCACCCATCACTCTCACCAGTTTTAAATTGTGAGTCACCAGCGCCACAGAATGGAGGGGAAAACAGGAAAAAACTGACATGCAATGTACATGCAATCACATGTAGTGTTCCAGCGGTAAAGCCCCAGGCATGTAATTATACCCAGCCCTATAATGGAGGATCGCTGCGAGAAGTCGCAACTTATTGTCCCTCAACAAGATGGAGTGCAACAGAGTTGCAAAAAAATCAAGCTTCATGGAAGCAGATGTCAAATGTGTTTATATTTTTTTATTTCTCGAAGCATTAACAGTCTGGTTATGTGATTAAATCGTCCAATCAGAATTCTGCATTATTGATTGTATTAACAAAGCTGCCATATCAACAATTTATAGGTAAAATACATTCTCAAGTATAATAGCCCTAACATTCTAAGTTGTCTGGTGTTAATCTTGGTTCTAAACACTAAACAAAGATTACTGTCTGAGGACCACAGTGTTTATGAAGTGTACAAAATATACAACAACAATCTTAACTTGAAAACAACTTTAAAAAAAAGCTCTACAACATGTCTGAAGGATAAACATTTCCCTTTTGAAATTGGTTAGATATAAGAAACATAGATTGCGAGGCACCATACTTTGTAGACCAAGTAATAGGGTACAGTGTATAGGATATAGAGCCAAATGAAGGACCTCACCACAATTGGTGTATGAGGAGTTTTGGTAAAAAGGATTTATTCTAGATATAGTTTTTGGATGTGTAATGTTTTCTCAGATTATTTGACTATAGGAATTCTCTGAACAGAATGCAAATCCTTTACAGAGTAAAGAACATCCTAAAAATGTCTGTAAGACATAAATGCCCCCGCTGCCATGTAAATTAGTTTCAGTGTTCTATAAAAAATTACAACCACTTTGATCTTGATACCCTGAAACATGCTCACACACAAGGTACTACACTTAAAGTTGATAAGTTGATTTTAATATTTATATGTTTTTCCTGTATGTTATAATCAGCTCCATAACATATTGAATGAAGTTGCTAAGTGTTTAAATTGAATCAGTTGATGATTTTCTATATATAGCAACAGTGACCTTGGCCTGACCTTGGAACCCTGAAACACAAAGGTATACCCATATTTGACCTTTGTATAAAGTTTGACAAAAATCTGTGATAGAATGAAGTTGCTAAGTGTTTAAATTGATCAACAGTGACCTTGGCCTTGACCTTGGAACCCTGAAACACAACAATGTCCGAAGCATACTCATACTTGACCTTTGTATAAAGTTTGACCAAAATCTGTCAAAGAATGAAGTTGCTGAGTGTTTACATTGAATCAGGACGGGACGGACATGGGCAACACTATATGCCCCCCCNNNNTTTTATGGCGGGGGCATAAAAATGAGAATCCTTTAAAAACACAAGTGAATCTAGCAGGTTGATACATTTCCAGAGCAAAATTACATAACGCAATAGTGATAGACTATATCAATCGACAAAGTTAGGCTTTAAGACAACCTGTATATATACTGATAATAATAAATTTGGTGATGTAGTTTTTCTTATTAGTCTAGAATGTATTATTACATTACAGAATCACCTAACAACTGGCAGCCTTTCAGCAGAGAAAGTTGTTTGTACAGAGAGAAACGCTAGTTATTTAACCAAGGTGTGACAAAAGCTTCAAACATGTTTCGGCTGTTCATGAATCATCTACGTACAATGTGTGGGGCTATCAGAACAATGATGTAATTAGGGAGGAGAACCTCTCCGCAACGCTGCAGTGGGGCTACGTAATGTAATACACTTTCTGTTAGTATATCTCATCATTATAAGCATTTTACCACTAAATTCCCTGCTAATAAGATAATGACGGCCATCAGGGCAGCTTGCCCCCATTTATCATTTTTGTTACACACCTAATTGATCTTAATGTTCACATCTATCCTTATTTAGCCCAAAAAAAGTCTTCAATATTCAACAAATCTTGTTAGGTATCCAAAAACAAAAAAATCCCTCTTAATTAATCAGTTATCAACATTAGTTTAACATCAAAGGAAAATAAGTGATTAAGAGCCTCGCTCCAGATCTAGATTGACACATTTTGTGGTAACACTGGCCTTTTGAACATGGTACAAATCTGACAACAGAGCTTTATCAATCTATTGACTTCTTTTCACCTTCATTTACAGGACCCTATGGCAGTGATAACAATACCCATGACCTTCATCAACACACAATATATATCACCTTCATTTACAGGACCCTATGGCAGTGATAACAATACCCATGACCTTCATCAACACACAATATATATCACCTTCATTTACAGGACCCTATGGCAGTGATAACAATACCCATGACCTTCATCAACACACAATATATATCACCTTCATTTACAGGACCCTATGGCAGTGATAACAATACCCATGACCTTCATCAACACACAATATATATCACCTTCATTTACAGGACCCTATGGCAGTGATAACAATACCCATGACCTTCATCAACACACAATATATATCACCTTCATTTACAGGACCCTATGGCAGTGATAACAATACCAATGACCTTCATCAACACACAATATTTTTTTTACAAATTATTTAGACAATAATCAACACTCTCATTTGATTTTGACCAACCTTTGCTTTGACATTGATCAATCAACTAAAAGGAAAAAATAATCTTTATGCATACAATCTTCAAACAACATTGTTCCTTCTCAACAACAAATAATTAAGGAATGTGATCATCACCAGTAAAGCTGTTGTAATTCAGTATCCACGATTCTAGGTGCGACAAATCACCGTAACTTGCATCAATATAAATCATAAATGACCAAATGTCTTTTTAGCATTTGAAACCACACAACGTATTAATGATTCAATAGTGAAATATGCAGAATCTGTCATAGAACTATTTGTGCCAAAAGATTTGAAAAGAGCAGATGAAATCTAATTTTTCAGCTCAATCATTCAACGATAAAATAGAAGCTTAAGCTGAAGTGTCTTTGTTACACCTCGTCCTGGAATGCACATTATAACGCCTGTCACCACATCATGCTGTGTCGACCAGATGTCACAAAAATATTTCTTGGCTTAAAAAAGATTTTCTTTAATAGTGTTATTTTTATACGAGTAAACTAAATCCACACACTCTGAACAAAAATGGCCAGTAACTGTAAATACTAAATCTATAACAAATTACCCGTCCTCACATTACATTACTGAGTTAGTCGTTAATTCAACTCCTGTATATAATAACCAATTATCTAATGACTTCTGTTTGTAGTAATCATATAATAAGTCAGTGATAACATCAGTCCGTTAATAAGGGTCTGTCACTTACTTGATAACATTGTTTTTATTGTCACATTTAAACATGACACATAGCATTGTTAACATAAATGTCACAAGGCTTGTAACCCATCTATTTTGGACCACTACTGATGCTGTAGCCACTGCTTATGTTGATTTTGTTTTATTTAAAGCTTATAAATTTTGAGACAAATTCTTTATTTATTGAATCAACATCTAGCCAATTAAATCGTAAAATCCGTTCTTTATATGTATATTGATGAATTCACTCAGTAAAAATAAAAATGATTGATTTCATATTCTTCTTAACCCATATGGCAAAATTATCTCCCCTTGAAATTGTCCCCAGATGTAATAAGGATATCACTTATTGTCGGACTCTTGTCTACATTTTAGGTACAACTGTGCAGTTGTCTCCCTTTGTTGTGTGGACTGGCCTATACATTAGGAGTAATTGTCTCCCCATATTGTGTCGACTGGCTTATACATTAGGAGTAATTGTCTCCCCTTATTGTGTCGAGTGGCCTATACATTAACAGTAATTGTCTCCCCTTGTTGTGTCGACTGGCCTATACATAAGGAGTAATTGTCTCTCCTCATTGTGTCGAGTGGCCTATACATAAGGAGTAATTGTCTCCCCTTGTTGTGTGGACTGGCCTATACATAAGGAGTAATTGTCTCCCCTTGTTGTGTTGACTTGCCTATACATAAGGAGAAATTGTCTCCCCTTGTTGTGTGGACTGGCCTATACATAAGGAGTAATTGTCTCCCCTTATTGTGTTGACTTGCCTATACATAAGGAGTAATTGTCTCCCCTTATTGTGTTGACTGGCCTATATATTAGGAGTAATTGTTTTCCCTTGTTGTGTTGACTGGCCTATACATTAATTAAGTGTAATTGTCTCCCCTTGTGTTAACTGGCCTATATATTAGGAGTAATTGTCTCCCCTTGTTGTGTTGTCTGGCCTATACAATAAGAGTATGTGTCTCCCCTTATTGTGTCGACTGGCCTATACATTAAGAGTATTTGTCTCCCCTTGTTGTGTCGACTGGCTTATACATTAGGATTAATTATCTCCCCTTGTTGTGTCGACTGGCCAAAACATTAGAGTAATTATCTCCCCTTGTTGTGTCGACTGGCCTATACATTAGAGTAATTGTCTCCCCTTGTTGTGTCGACTGGCTTATACATTAATTAGTGTAATTTCTCCCCTTGTTGTGTCGACTGGCTTATACATTAGGAGTAATTATCTCCCCTTGTTGTGTCGACTGGCCTATACATTAAGTGTAATTGTCTCCCCTTATTGTGTCGACTCGACTATACATTAAGAGTAATTGTTTCCCCTTGTTGTGTTGACTTGCCTATACATTAGGAGTAATTGTCTCCCCTTGTTGTGTCTACTGGCCTATACATTAGGAGTAATTGTCTCTCCTTGTCATGCTATCACTTATCTATAGAGTGATGAATTGCTATAATCATCACATTTCCTATAGCCCAGGAAATAGGTCACATTCCTGTGAAAGGTGTATTAGGTACATTCATCACTAGAAAACCGTCACTAGCTTATCATCTTTCATTCACAACAAAAATATCTAATTTATGAATGAGATTACAGAGCTTCAGTCTTTTTTGCACATCTTATAAAGAATAATTTGTTGATGGATTTTTTTTCTTATTCCATAATTTGGTTAAAAATTCTTGGAATTATATGAAACTTACAAAATGGTTGACTGGTGATAAAATCAGCTTACTAGTGAGAATATATCTTTATTGGTGCGTGGATCCCCGGGGAGAAATGTACATCACATACATTCTTACAATGACAGATTATATGTTGAGGTACACCATTTACATCAAGCTATATATGTTGAGGTACACTATTTACATCAAGCTAATAGTTCATGCACACAAGAAACCTCAAAACAAAAGCTATGTAAGTCGGTAAGATATGACAGGTATACACCAGGTACAGTCAGTATGCAAGCCTAAGCTTTGTGAACAGACATCTGTATTGTAACAAATGTCAGATACATATCACCGTCATATTTAAATTCTAAAGGAATTCGAAGAAAATCTAAGAAAAAACTCAGTTAACTTTTATCTATTCAGGCAAAAATTGTGAAAAGATTGAAAAAAACAAAGAAAAAGATAAAATCTTGAGTTTGAAAACAAGTTTCCTCGGAAAGCAAATCTAAGAAAAAGTTGAAGTACCAGAATGACAACAACAATATGTACAAAGTTATCTGCAGGACATGCCGACAGAGAGAAGGGAAACAAAATCACAATATCACTGTGGATACTTACTGCAGCTTTCTGACGGGTCAGGTCCAGTGACGATAACTAGCAGAAAGGAATATTGGATTTTATTTTGGTTTTATAAGTTACTTATATTAAAATAAGGAGTTTTTCACAAATATAATGACCAAGATTGATACATCATTTCTCTTTAAGTAATTGAAAACCTAGTAATGAGGTAAATATATACAATGTAGGTCCTATAATATGTTCATACAATAACATATGGCAATTCAATCATCAATTCTGAAACATTTATCAAGAGATAAATATGTAAGACCACACACTGGTGTTTTTCTAACAAATCAGATCCGCGCACGAGTGAATATATAGGTCCGCGCAATAAATGAGTGCTTTCTGATTCATTAAAAAAAGTGTGTGGTCTTGCTTTTATCACATTCCTTCCGTATTTGGTAGAGATCAATACAAAGATTTTATAAACTTTGATATATTTTTGCAAATACCGGGAACTTTTCAGTTCGCCATGGAAGGGGATTCCCATAAAAAGTAGTTCCGTCTAGTATGGTGATACAACATCTTGTATCACACATGTGATACAAACCGACAGAAAACATCAACAGGAAATTGTTGTATTACTATTGTAAGATTACCTAGGTATGTGATAAAAGTATTTAAGTAACAGGTGATACTGCAGCTTGTAATATGAGGGGTTTTGCGGGGAATTTTGCTACTAAATTTATGTAGTTTGTTTGTGTTTAACGCCCTATTAACAGCTATATGGTCATTTATGGAAGTATTGGTGGTAACGGAAAGCTGGGGGAACCCAGCGAAAAACCACCGACCTGCAACCAGTACCTGGTGACTGCCCCACTTACATTGTAGGCCTCGAACGTACGACCCATTAGTGGATGGCAAGTGATGATAGCAGTTACACCCCTTAACCACTTGGCCACCGAGGCCCTGTGGTGGAGGCAGACAGTTAGACCCCTTAACCACTTGGCCACTGAGGCCCTGTGGTGGAGGCAGACAGTTAGACCCCCCCCTTAGCTACCGCAGCCCTGTGTTGGAGGCAGACAGTTAGACCCCTTAACCACTTGGCCTCCGTGGCCCTGTGGTGGAGGCAGACAGTTAGACCCCTAACCACCTGGCCACCGAGGCCCTGTTGTGGAGGCAGACAGTTAGACCCCTTAACTACTTGGCCACCGAGGCCCTGTGGTGGAGGCAGACAGTTAGCCCCCTAACCACTTGGCCACCGAGGCCCTGTGGTGGAGGCAGACAGTTAGACCCATAACCACTTGGCCACCGAGGCCCTGTTGTGGAGGCAGACAGTTAGACCCCTTAACCCCTTGGCCACCGCGGCCCTGTGGTGGAGGCAGACAGTTAGATCCCTAACCACTTGGCCACCGAGGCCCTGTGGTGGAGGCAGACAGTTAGACCCATAACCACTTGGCCACCGAGGCCCTGTTGTGGAGGCAGACAGTTAGACCCCTTAACCCCTTGGCCACCGCGGCCCTGTGGTGGAGGCAGACAGTTAGACCCCTGAACCACTTGGCCACCGCGGCCCTGTGGTGGAGGCAGACAGTTAGATCCCTAACCACTTGGCCACCGAGGCCCTGTGGTGAAGGCAGACAGTTAGACCCCTAACCACTTGGCCACCGCGGCCCTGTGGTGGAGGCAGACAGTTAGACCCCTGAACCACTTGGCCACCGCGGCCCTGTGGTGGAGGCAGACAGTTAGACCCCTTAACCCCTTGGCCACCGCGGCCCTGTGGTGGAGGCAGACAGTTAGACCCCTTAACCACTTGGCCACCGAGGCCCTGTGGTAGAGGCAGACAGTTAGACCCCTTAACCACTTGGGCACCGAGGCCCTGTGGTGGAGGCAGACAGTTAGACCCCTTAACCACCTGGCCACCGAGGCCCTGTGGTGGAGGCAGACAGTTAGATACCCTAACCACTTGGCCACCGCAGCCCTGTGGTGGAGGCAGACAGTTAGACCCCTAACCACTTGGCCACCGAGGCCCTGTGGTGGAGGCAGACAGTTAGATCCCCTAACCACTTGGCCACCGCAGCCCTGTGGTGGAGGCAGACAGTTAGACCCCTTAGCTACCGAGGCCCTGTGCTACTAAATAAATGTGCTGAATTCCTAATACAGTCATTACTATAACTACATCTTCCCTATGTGGCCAAAATATCTTTCTGTTCTAGCTTTACATCCTCCTGATGTTTGACTGATCTTGGAGGGATACAAACAGATTGTCATTACCATATATACCAAGAGTGCTTTCAAGGTCACGTAAAGGTTAATAATTTGTGAACCGCTTTGAGACAACTTACGAACTAGGTTGTGATAAAGCAGCAAATAAGAACCTTGATTTATTATTATTATTATAAAGGCTCCCTCACCTTGAATATGGCCATCAAGATCATTTTTGGTTAATATGTAATAATTTAAAGTTATAAATAATAAGTGGCAGAGAAGAGATTCTACAGAATGCAAAAGTCACCTTATCTATCAACCATGCAGCTATGCAAACATCTTCAACCAACCTCTGTCCCAATACATATTGCTATCCTATTCTAACTGATCAATATTAAATAGAAGAATGAGAATATGTTTAATTCATAAAGATGTCACATTTATAAGGTAATTTAGTGAATATGGATTCTAAAAATATAAATTTTAAATTTTGATAATATTCCAAAGAGAAAATTTCATAAAATACCAGTATAAAGCAATTTTACAGGAATCGATACTGATTAGGAACATGTAAATGCGACTGTCTGCTCGTCAATAGCGACAGCTGTACCTTAGTGTATATCTGAATGCTATAACATGTGGTTTGATACTAATTCAGGTATAATATAGTACTGATACTTCTGTAAATGGAAGTCAATCTTCAGTCATATATCTATACATTGTACACATTTCAGTTTTAGTGAATTTCAGATCAAATAAAGATAAAACATTGTGGTTTATAAATACAGTACTGCAAAGCAATGTATGTATCATATCACAAATTATTGGTTTGAATTTTTTTTAATCTCAAGACTTAACAAGTTATAGACCTGACAAGGTATCCTGGTCCCCGTCTCTTGAAAATATAACAATTTAAGAAAAATAATAAACTAATAATTTTGGACACTTGGATGTCTGATTCTGGATCTCAAACTAAGGGGAGATAAGTTTTAAAAACTTAGAGGCGGGTAGCCAGCCTACTGTCAAGGTGAAAACCTATCTTATCTTACTGTAGCTTTTAGCCCTTGACCTATTTTAATGACTTTGATCTACAAGTGATACACATCCATCACCGGATGATGGATACATCTATGATATTTCATTGAATTACCTTCAAGGGGTTATGAATGAAGGACCTCATGTATAATGTGCATGGACTTACAGGGGTCGCCCTGAGGCCTATAAAGAGTAATGTTCCCCCTAACATCGGTAACACATACCGGTAAGACTAATAACGATTTTAAATGAGCTAGAATACGAGGGTGTATACAATCTATTATATGACAAGGTCTTCACCTTTTATACCATTTAACACAAATTACTAGGCACCTTTTCCAAATTCCCATACTAAAACGGCTATGAATGGAATTTTCTGTTTTGCCCCACAGATAACATCACATTAGTGTAAACAGGCCTGAGATATTCACAATCATTGTCTGTCCTCTACGTGTTACTTAGTGTTGAATGCTAATATAATATATGTAAGGAATTGGAAGGTTAAAGTGCCTTATATTGTATTTCTCTATTTGCCATAGGATAACCTGTAATTTTGCAAGGTTACATTACTTATATATTACTTATAACATCCTATACTGCTGATAACGCAGATATCAGATTACCGAGTATCTTATTTCTACCCATGACAGGTATATCAGTTGAGTGGCAATATTTATATGTACCAGACACATGTACATACCTTACACATATTACACCTACTTCAGGCCGTCATAGCGCTATCATCAACAACCCCAACAATCAATATACCAATTGTTTATTCTGTTTCACCTGGCCAGGCAGTTATATTTTTATGTTCTACTGGGTTTAAAATAGCAAACTGTAAACTTTAAATCCATGTCTGGGAAAATGAAATTGATATTGGTATATTTAAATTTATTTACCATGCAAAATGTCTCGGCAAACATTATAATGCTTGGTAATAACAAGAGGCCCAAGAGGGCCTGTATCGCTCACCTGAATATTTAAGCAGTCATAGCAAAATATTCTCATTAAATATTATATTGCACTCAAAATATTTCCCTCCCAAACTTTGTTGGCTCCATCTGTTGAAACTACCAGCAAAGTATTATTATAAGATTCTATGCTTTTTGATTCTTCTTCAGAAGTTGCTGACATATTTTTCCCTGTGATCTTGTAAGTAGGTCAATGTCATTTTCCTTCTCAAATTGGTTAGCTCTATTCCAAAAAGCTACCAGCCAAATCTTATGAATCCATTCCTTTTAGTTCTCAAGAACAAATCCATTAAAATGTTGTTGACCTCTGTGACCTCTAAAGTAGGTTGAGGTCATTTTCATTTGCAAACTTTGGTGAGCTCTATCCCGGGAAGTCACCAGCCAAATATTATAATTTTATGCCTTTTAATTCTTCAGAAGAAGCTGTTTGAACTGTTTGACATATTTGAACGCTGTGACCTTGAAAGTAGGTCAAGGTCATTTTCATTCGCAAACTTTGTTTGGCTCTTTCCCAGGAAGCCACCTGCCAAATATTAAGATTTTATAACTACCAGTTCTTCAGAAGAAGTCGTTTAAAGTGTTTGACATATCTGCCTCATGTGACCTTAAAAGAAGGTCAAGGTCATTTTCATTCTCAAACTTTGTTCGGCTCTTTCCTAGGAAGCTACAAGCCAAATATAGAGATTATATACCTTTCAGTTCTTCAGAAGAAGTCGTTTGAAGTGTCTGACACATTTGACTCCTGTGACCTTGAAAGAAGGTCAAGGTCATTTTCATTCTCAAACTTTGTCGGGCTCTATCCAAGGAAGCCATCAATCAAAAATAAAGATTCTATACCTTTCAGTTCTTCAGAAGAAGTCATTTGAAGCTTTTGACATATATGACCCCTGTGACCTTGAAAGTAGGTCAAACTAGTTTTCATTCTCAAACTTTGTTGGGCTCTATCCCAGGAAGCCACCAGCCAAATATAAAGATTATATACCTTTCAGTTCTTCAGAAGAAGTCGTTTGAAGTGTTTGACACATTTGACCCCTGTGACCTTGAAAGAAGGTCAAGGTAATTTTCATTCTCAAACTTTGTTGGGCTCCATCCAAGGAAGCCATCAGCCAAATATGAAGATTCTATACCTTTTAATTCTTCAGAAGAAGTCGTTTGAAGTTTTTGACATATTTGACCCCTGTGACCTTGAAAGTAGGTCAAACTAATTTTCATTCTCAAACTTTGTTGGGCTCTATCCCAGGAAGCCACCAGCCAAATATAAAGATTCTATACCTTTCAGTTCTTCAGAAGAAGTCGTTTGAAGTGTTTGACACATTTGACCCCTGTGACCTTGAAAGAAGGTCAAGGTAATTTTCATTCTCAAACTTTGTTGGGCTCCATCCAAGGAAGCCATCAGCCAAATATGAAGATTCTATACCTTTTAATTCTTCAGAAGAAGTCGTTTGAAGTTTTTGACATATTTGACCCCTGTGACCTTGAAAGTAGGTCAAACTAATTTTCATTCTCAAACTTTGTTGGGCTCTATCCCAGGAAGCCACCAGCCAAATATAAAGATTCTATACCTTTCAGTTCTTCAGAAGAAGTCGTTTGAAGTGTTTGACACATTTGACCCCTGTGACCTTGAAAGTAGGTCAAGGTAATTTTCATTCTCAAACTTTGTTGGGCTCCATCCCAGGAAGCCATCAGCCAAATATGAAGATTCTATACCTTTTAGTTCTTCAGAAGAAGTCGTTTGAAGTGTCTGACATATTTAACCCTGTGACCTTGAAAACAGGTCAAGGTCATTTTCGTTCTCAAACTTTGTAGGGCTCCTACCAACGAAGCTTTCAGCCAAATATCATGACTCTAGGCCTGTCCGTTTTTCAGAAGAAGTTGTTTAAAGGAAAAATTGACGGACGACGGACGCCGCGCCACGGCATAAGCTCACTTGGCACTTCGTGCTAGGTGAGCTAAAAAGGAAACATATATGAATAACATGGATGTTTCTATACCTTTGTTTGTACAAATAACAAACAGATACAGTGTCTCAATAGGAACACAATATAGACTTTCTAGCTACCTGTGTTTCAATTCAATTTATTGCTCATTTTTAAAGAAACAGTAATTTTGAGGGTAGAATAATCTGACCAAATAATCAGTTTGAATATAGAACAATATCCCAATTTAAACAGAGGCCAAGCCCTGCCTCCCAAGTTCTATCGGACAGCTATGAATATCACTAATAACATCAACAACACCACACTGGTCATTATGGTAGTGATGGACCAGGTTCTATCGGCAGCACAGATCATATCTGTCTGTTATTTGATGATTGGTTGGGTGAGTCAGTTGTTTTAGTCTCCTAGTCTTTCATCAAGACAGCTAGGGTTAGTTTCCTAGAACAGATATGAGGGTATTGGTGGAGTGGAGGAAGGTGGGGGTCACCACTGCCCCAAGGTGAAGATGGACCAGGTGGGGGTCACCACTGCCCCAAGGTGAAGATGGACCAGGTGGGTTTTGCCCACATTAAATGTACCTTGTATAATTTGAATTTAGTGAAATGCATAATGATAACATTATTTGGGGTCTGGTGGGTCAAAACTAGCCAGGTGTTTTAAGACGGGTGACAGTTCCACTAGCCTGACACATGGGACTAGTAGACCTATGTTAGGTCTAATAATAATATTTACTCTGAAAATATAGCATTAGGTTGACTAATAGAAATTTTCGAAATCTGCCTGGTGGCTAGTACTCTAAATAGAGAACTGTATACCCTGTAGGAACTTTTAAGTGGAAAATACTGTATTTGATTTAAATTAAAATGTGACACTTTAATCAACTGTTTCACACTACTTCTATTATAATAAATAAAATTTAGTCTTAACAGTGACAGATGTTTGCATATTCTTATTTAAATGAATACAATTTATACAGTTCTGATGTTTTTAAAACCATTCTGTGTCTCTTAACTGCATGTTCCTACTTAAACCATATTCCTACTTAAACCAACACAATGTATACTGTATTAATGTTTTAAATCGTTCCGTGTCTCACAGCACTAGATTGCTGTCCTAACTGAGCTAGTTAACAATCTAAATGCCACAGCAATAAGAATAGGAAGATCACCATTGTTTTAATGAGAAATGTACCGGTAATTGTTATCCAAGTCTTCAGTACAAGTTTGTTAATGTTATAAGCTAACCTGGATCCCTAGGTACATTGTACGTACATTTGTATAAGGGCAGCATTTTGTTAAATGTCAATTTAGGCTATTAAGTGTCACAACCATAACGACAGCAACATGCATCAACCTCTGACCTCGAAACAATGCCTCATGCACTTAAAAAACCCAAATAGGAGTTTACCCAATAGAACTAAGGGATAAATTGAAGAACATGCATATTTTGAGAAGTTTCACATGGGGCCCCTACAGCTTTTAATTCTAACATTTGAGTTGGACATCACTAAGAACTGGTAATATTGCTTTCTTGTTATGTTGTATGGAATAGAACCAGTCTGTGTATGTGCCTTCTGTTGTGTCCTCAGCTTAATACTACTGATATTTACTGTATCAGTGTATTTCTGAACCATTTCTTTTTAAATAGTTCAACCGTACACAACTACCAGCGGCAACAGCTGAGAGTTGTAGTTGTAATATTGATGCTAAGCTTCTAAGATATGAACACTGTCAAGTAGTTTCTCATTTTAGTGACAATCAATACTTATATTGACTTCATCTGTGAATATGACAATGTGTGATGTGAATTCCTTCTGAGACAAACAATCAGTGTAGCTTTACGATAGAAAACGGAATTAACTTTATCAAAGCTATTAGCTGCACTGCTTAAGAGGCTTAGAAAGGATTTACTCTCAAGTAACAACATCTAATGTGCCTACTCTACTAAATCAGACATTCTTATACAGTCTTATACGGTAAAAAGGTTAACAAGGAATATAATCAGGCATGTAAAACACTTAAGAGACTATGATAATAACAAGCATCCCAATGATCCTGATTGCCATTATTGTGAAGGAGATTATTTACCATTGGGTCCTTCCTCGCCCATTGAGGCTCGGTTTGCAATCCTCGCCAACTCATCGTTAATGTCAATCCCCGTCTGTTCTTCATCCCAACAACGGAATCCTGCAAATAAAACAATATGGCGATCAATAACACAAACAAGACAGTTCCTGAACATAAAAGTTAATTCCAACAACTTATAACATTACAGTTTCTGTATGTGTTTCTGTACATTCTACATACTCTTTGTAATCTTGACATTTCTCCAAGCAATAAGTCCATTGAGCCCATATTCTAATATTTTACAAAAAATGTTACAATATTTAGCAGGAAAGAGAACAGTGTGCTTCCAACGGGGCTTCAACTAGCGAACTCCAGCTTCCTAGTCCAACGCTCACTGATTGAGCTAAAGAGAACATTCCTCTTACACAAAGCTGGAAGATGACTGACTCAATGTACAATTAAATCCTGGTACAAATACATGTATTTTAATCAATAGTATAACCTCGAACCTTTCAATTAAGTAATGCATGCATCTTGCGGTAAAATCTGTCTTAGTAATTTATGGCCACTTTTTATAACATTATTTTAACACTTGTGATTCATTGATAGCAAATTGATGATTGAGATGTTACTTATGTTTCTTTGAACAGGTGTACCTTAAATCTTACCAGTATGCTGATATAGGATATAACTGATTTAAATCAGAGTTATGATCATAAATGATACTGTTAACTTTCTCTTAAACATCTTCAGATTAAACATCAAAGTCATGCAGATTTATGGCAACTTAGTTGGTCTGTAATATTTGATACAGAAATCTAAGCTATACTTATGAATGGAAAGGAATATCTGAGTCTGAGTTTTAAATCCTAGATGAATGGAATGTTTTGAATGACTTTGACATAGACGTTTTCATCAATGGAAGGAGGCTCTATTCATACCCAGGTAAGTATTCAGTGTGGACCAAATGTAGATATACGGTAAACCTTTGGTCAGTTCGAACAAAATTAAATAAATATTGTCAATCCTGTTAAAATCACACGCAATTATAGCGGCTAAAACAAAGAGTAGTTAAAATGATCAAAGCCGACATCGGCAAAAATCACGGCAAACAGTCAAGTCATTGATACGGAACAACGACGGCCTTATAATTATTGCGATATATATATATATGCAAATCTGGAGATAAATAATGGTATATATATCTTTTTTATATTTATTTACATATTGGTTATCAATTATTAAGTTCAATTTCAAAACAGAGACAAGTATGTAGGCCGCAAAGCAGTAGACGTTTTCTCGAGTAATGAAGAAAGTTCATTTGTACTGATCAGAATGCGGAGGGTGGATTTAAACTGCAATTACGAATTAATAGTTCGATCGACCACCTGGTCAGATATTTTTGCTTTGGTACATGTATATGTTATACCAATTAAGTTATAAATAAGTGATCGGTGGCCAGGTCGCGATTATATAATCAAATTGCAATCACAGTAATATCATGACAATACACACGTCTGTCAGCGATGTGACGGTAACATTCCACGCTCCGTGTACTGTTAGGATGTTATACATGGTCAGGGCCTAAAGATGTTTGACTGACGTGTGCACATGTCAACAAGAAAGAAACTCAATTATTGGTGACATGTGGCTTATTTATGTACAAATTGTCCTACATTGATGACAACAATGGTCGCACATGAGTACTACCTCTTACTCAGTAGTTAAAAGCTGTTGATGCGCCAATAGATTAAGTTTAAGTGAGTTTTGTGAGGCTATCATTGCATCGCCGATAGCCAACCTCGATCAATAATTATGTAAATTCAGTAATCAAGTTGTGTGTTCCAACAATCCGAAACGTGTGTAGGCAGGGTTCGAACTATCACTAGACAGAAAAGAATTATTTTTATTGTTCAAAAAGTGTGTTTGAACTATCCACCTATTCGAACTGACCTGAGGTTTACCGTACCTATAGCTGTCTTCAGGTGTTTAAGATAGATTCACACAAGTTGTTGACACAAGTGAATATTTGATACGCAATGTCATATACTCCAGTTGGTCTATCTTTCACGTTTTTCAAATGAGATGTCCAAAATGAGGTTAACTTGCATTACAGGTGTAAAAGCAGGTATAGGACACTGGGAGACAAATGACTGATCTGTTCTAGTGTTGTGGGTAATTTTATTTCGCTATGGACCGTAGTCTGGCATGTGAGGCATACAGACTTATTCTTATGTGTACCATACAATAATATTTTCCAATATTTTGTACAAATTGTTTTCTTGGACACAGACAAGTGCTAGGGGGGACTAAACCATTGTTTTCTTGGCGACAGACGAGTGTAAGGGGGGACTGAACCATTGTTTTCTTGGCGACAGATGAGTGTTAGGGGGGACTGAACCATTGTTTTCTTGGCGACAGACGAGTGTAAGGGGGGACTAAAACATTGTTTTCTTGGCGCCAGATGAGTGTAAGGGGGGACTGAACCATTGTTTTCTGGGCGACAGACGAGTGTAAGGGGAGACTAAACCATTGTTTTCTTGGCGACAGGCGAGTGTAAGGGGGGACTGAACCATTGTTTTCTGGGCGACAGACGAGTGTAAGGGGGGGCTAAACCATTGTTTTCTTGGCGACGGACGAGTGTAAGGGGGGACTTAACCATTGTTTTCTTGGCGCCGTCGAGTGTAAGGGGGGACTGAACCATTGTTTTCTGGGCGACAGACGAGTGTAAGGGGGGACTGAACCATTGTTTTCTTGGCGACAGACGAGTGTTAGGGGGGACTGCACCAGAGTCATAGTAACTGAGGCATTAACCAATCAGACAGCTCTATTAGATTGATATGTTCCAACCACTGTGTAAAGTTCTGCCTGATATACCAGCCAGAGTCCCAAAATTAAATTACTCTAGGTCATATCGAAGGAAAAGTGTTGAAATTCAACGGCTTCAAGTTTTGTGTCTGCCATGATTTCGATCCCAGCTGATCAATAAAGATGTCGCTTTGCTGCTTAATTTTGTGACCACGTATATATACAGTGTGCCACATTTCCGGTAATATTCCTGTATTTCTGTGATAATCGATTGCGAACAGGACTTCATCTAGAGCACTTGGAAGCTTTCATTACATAGGAAGTTCCGATGTTATTATACACCAATCCTCCGTCATACTTGATTACCAAATACACTGTATATTTATGGGTTCTCTCACCACAGCCAATAAAGGAAGGGCACCAATCGAAACAAAACATCGTCATAAATCTCACTTCAATTCTGTACTGCACAACACTAAAGCGCTATTCATTAGCTTTCACTTTTACTGTTACTGGTGACTGCCTAATACATACCAAATACTGTAGAGTGAGGTGGGGAGAGTGTTACTATACTGTAGAGAGAGGAGGGGAGAGGGTTACTATACTGTAGAGAGAGGGGGGGAGAGTGTTACTATACTGTAGAAAGAGGTGGGGAGAGTGTTACTATACTGTAGAAAGAGGTGGGGAGAGTGTTACTATACTGTAGAGTGAGGTGGGGAAAGTGTTACTATACTGTAGAGAGAGGTGAGGAGAGTGTTACTATACTGTAGAGTGAGGTGGGGAAAGTGTTACTATACTGTAGAGAGAGGTTGTGAGAGTGTTACTATACTGTAGAGAGAGGTGGGGAGAATGTTACTATACTGTAGAGAGAGGTGGGGAGAATGTTACTATACTGTAGAGAGAGGTGGGGAGAGTGTTATTCTACTGTAGAGAGAGGTGGGGAGAGTGTTACTTTACTGTAGAGAGAGGTGGGGAGAGTGTTACTTTACTGTAGAGAGAGGTGGGGAGAGTGTTACTTTACTGTAGAGAGAGGTGGGGAGAGTGTTACTTTACTGTAGAGAGAGGTGGGGAGAGTGTTACTCTACTGTAGAGAGAGGTGGGGAGAGGGTTACTATACTGTAGAGAGAGGTGGGGGGAGGGTTACTATACTGTAGAGAGAGGTGGGGGGAGGGTTACTATACTGTAGAGAGAGGGGGGGAGAGTGTTACTATACTGTAGAAAGAGGTGGGGAGAGTGTTACTATACTGTAGAAAGAGGTGGGGGGAGGGTTACTATACTGTAGAGAGAGGTGGGGAGATTGTTACTATACTGTAGAGAGAGGTGGGGAGGTTGTTACTATACTGTAGAGAGAGGTGGGGAGGTTGTTACTATACTGTAGAGAGAGGTGGGGAGGTTGTTACTATACTGTAGAGAGAGGTGGGGAGGTTGTTACTATACTGTAGAGAGAGGTGGGGAGGTTGTTACTATACTGTAGAGAGAGGTGGGGAGAGTATTACTATACTGTAGAGAGAGGTGGGGAGAGTGTTCCTATACTGTAGAGAGAGGTGGGGAGAGTGTTATTCTACTGTAGAGAGAGGTGGGGAGAGTGTTACTCTACTGTAGAGAGAGGTGGGGAGAGTATTACTATACTGTAGAGAGAGGTGGGGAGAGTGTTCCTATACTGTAGAGAGAGGTGGGGAGAGTGTTCCTATACTGTAGAGAGAGGTGGGGAGAGTGTTATTCTACTGTAGAGAGAGGTGGGGAGAGTGTTACTATACTGTAGAGAGAGGTGGGGAGAGTGTTACTATACTGTAATAGTTGATTACATGTGTCACGATACCAACAGTACAATACCCATGTCAGTAACTAGTTCTTAATTACTGAGTATAAGTTAATTATGTATTACCTTATATGTATGTAATGCACTAATTATATATAATATTTCATGTGAAGGAAAAAACTGATGTAGTGAATTAAGCTTTTTGAGGATAGAAACATTAAGCAAGAATAAGTCTAAGAATTTTGTTAACATTAACAAAAGCCGGGCATATGACCATATATCTACCTTACAGTCTTTCTCATGAACAGATGCATTGAACATGATCTTTTACCAATCTTTACAGTCTATGAACAGAAGTATGGACATTGAATATGACCTTTTACCAATCTTTATATTCTATGAACAGAAGTATGGACATTGAACATGATCTTTTACCAATCTTTACAGTCTATGAACAGAAGTATGGACATTGAACATGACCTTTTACCAATCTTTACAGTCTATGAACAGAAGTATGGGCATTGAACATTATTTTATATCCTGTGACTGTGAA